CTTCATTGGGACATCGATCTATGCAGGGCAGCAACTCATGGTTTATGCCTCACAGTTGTACTGTACTTGCATAGACTCCACATACTGACAGAATCTTGAGTTGTGTGTCATTGGAAAAATTGGTGCTGTGATCAGTACAATTGCCTTATACGCCAGGGGGATGATTGACAATGTTTTTCTTTTTTTTTTAATTTATTTTTTTATTTTTTAATAGTTTATTAGGGGCTCATACAACTCTTATCATAACCCATACATACATCAGTTGTGTAAAGCATATTTGTACATTCATTGCCCTCATCATTCTCAAAACATTTGCTCTCCACTTAAGCCACTGGCATCAGGTCCTCTTTTTTTCTCCCTCCCTCCCCGTTCCCCCCTCCCTCATGAGCCCTTGATAATTTATTAATTTTTTTCCCCCTTTGGGGCTTTTTCATTTTTCTGCCTTTTGTTTGTTTGTTTGTTTGTTTGTTTTTCTTGTTGGTCTTGTGGAATTTTGTTTTGTCCTAATACAACTGCCAAAGTAAACCAGAGTCATCATTCATAACCTGTGGATAAGCAGATACATCTGGGCCCCCACTTAACTCTAGCCCCAATCCAAGAACAGTTAGTTTTGATAACATAATGATCACTGAAGATAAGGGTGCTACAGCCAAGTACGGTGAAGAAAGCAGATTGTGCCCAGCTATCAATTAGAATAGTATCTGGGGTCTTAAAGGCTTGTATTCAAACAAGCTGCCATCTCAGTGAGGAGTCCACTAAATCCACATAAAAGAAACATACCAATCGGTGTGACCCAAAGATGACATGACAAAATCCAAATATGACGAAGGGAAAGATATCAGCTTAAATTGCCAACACCCAATTTGTAAAAGGCTATGAAGGACCATGGGAGCTGAAAATCCATCTGCAGAGTATCTAGTCAGATCAGGTCCCTGGCAGATCCCCTCTAGCCACAGGCCAGGCACTCAAACAGCTTTACTGTCAGAGATTATTATAAACTTGATTGTGGTGGACGCACATGGTATAATTTGATACTTGACCCAACCTGAATTGTTCTAGACTCAAGTGGTTATTTCTTGTTTCACGACAGACATTTCTTCTCTGGCTTTTTAAATATTGATGGTGGTCTTTTTTGGGGTATTTTTTTGTTTATATTATTATTATTTAATTCTTGCCATTTTGTTTTTGTGTTTTATTGTTTCTGTTGGATTTCCCAGTTTGTGAAGCACAGAAGGAGCAGATGCATACAGACAATACCTGACACAATGGTTTATGGGATGAGGAGAGGGCTGGCCGGTGGGGAGAGTGAGGGGATTTGGGGAACAATGAATTCGGGAAGGGGAGGGAACATTAGGACTGATTGTGATGATGTGTATACAACTCATTTTAAAAATGACTTAACCATGGAACATATGATGTGTGAATACTATAATAAGATAATTACTGAAAAAGAAAAAGAAAAAAGAAACCAAACTTGACCAATGGTTACCAGGGGTGAAAGGGAAAGAGTTTTTGCTTGGGGGACATTAAATTTAAGTCAATGGTGGTGAAATAATTTGGGAAAGGATATCAATAATGGTTTTACAACACAAAGTGCATAATCAATGGCATTGAATTATATAGGTAACAGTTGTGGAATTGCAGAATGTTTTGTTGTGTATATTTTTGCCATAACTAGAAAAAAAATAATTACATGAATAACGAGTACAAGGAAGAAGAAAATGTTCTAGAATTGAATATGGTTACAATTGTACAACTCTTCTTGATATGAGTGAAATACTGAATTGTATGACATGTAGATGAAGTGCTAATGAAAGTGTTTTTTTAAAAGATGTTTAAGAGTGTTTTTAAAAAGAGGGAGTATGGGAGACAGTTCTGTTCTACCCTGTAGGGACTCTGAGTCAAGAATCAACTCATGTTTTGAAACTTCTCTCAATAAATGTTTCAAACATTTCCCCATGTTCTAATGTCAATGACAAGTTTGCTGAGTTTTATTAACATCATTTCTGTATGACTGTATGGTAGACACATTCCCAGAAAACATTCAGTGAAAGTCCTCACTTTCCCAGGCTTCCATTTCAGCAGAACTTTGGGATGTGCCTCTCAGGTCTAAACAGTGGGCAAGGTGGAGCAGAAAGCAGAAATCAATTCCATTGCCATTAAGGTTGGTTCCAATGCTGAGCAAAGCTATAGGACAGCATAGAACTGTTCCTTGGGGTTTCTGAGACTGCATCCTTAGGAAGCAGGCATCCTCATCTTTTTCCCAAGGGCCAACTGGTGCTTCTGAACCACTGGCCTCTCTGTTGGCAGCCCAGGTGCTTAACCCACTGCACCACCAGGGTTCCTTTGTTAAGAGCATAAAAGCCCAGAAATGAAAGCTCAGAGCAAAGACTGCAGCCAGGGCTCTTGCTCCGGGTTCAATGGCCACATCTAGACTTCCCGCAGAAACCTTTTTCCTACTGCACCAGAGGAGCATCAGATTCTGCCTGACCAGGCCCTGCCAAGATCGCCAGGCCCACTGCTGTGCTCTAGTTCCTGTCCCATCAGAAGCCCTCGTCTTGTGCACTTGCTAGCAACTCAGCAGACCCCAGGGGCAACAGAGTGCTGAGGGTAGACTGAGCTAGGTGTTGAGAAAGAGACATACCGAGCCGTATCGTTCATCTTGTGGGCCAGCCGCCTTGCCCATTCAAGACGGAGCCCCCTATGGGCTGGGTGTGCATACTGTCCCTGGGTCCTTCCCACCTGGCCACAGCCGGCCAACGGGAAGTGTATAGGAGACTGACCGACTCAGCCCAGCCATGAAAGAGAAGGCTTTCTGGCCTGGCTCCTTCATGAACACATGCATGCTGAGTCTGGCTCCTCAAAGGTAGGCACAGTGACCATGCCAGGCTGTGGTCTGAAAATGCTGAGCAGACAAGGACTGTGATGCCTGTGAGTGTGGGCCCCTGGTGACACAGTGGCTTAAGGTTTGGACTGCTACCCACAAGGTTGGTTGGTGGTTCAAGGTTGGTTGGTGGGAGAAAGATGAGGCCCCTGCGCTTCTGTAAAGATGGACAGTCTCGGAAACTCTAAGGAGCAATTCTCGACTGCCCTAGCAGGCCTCTCTGAGTTGGAATCGATGGGATGATAGTGGACTTGCTATGCACAAGGAGGGAGTCCTGGTAGTTCATGGGCTAAAGCAGCTCACCAAGAGGTCTGTGTGTTGCAAGCACCAGTGGCTTTATGGGAAGAGATGAGACTGTCCACAAGGCAATTCTACCTTGTTGTGTTGGGTCACGGTGAGGCAGAATAGACACTGAAGGTTTTGAGCACACAGTATTTGTTCTAAAGAGACGGTAGAGGGTCAGCTGTGCCTCAGTGACCTGTTTCCACAGGGCTCTCTAGCTCTTCTAGGGCCCAGGAGGGGCTTAGGGGCCAGATGGAGCTACCCCAGTGCAGGCAAGGGTCTGGCAACTATCACACTCACTTGTCCATTTTTATAGTGTGGGAATTCACAGTTTGTGTGAAATGTGTCCTTTGTGGTTTGGTTTGCAAACTTTACCAGGGTTTCTGCTCACAGCTTCACAGACAATGCTCTGTGTTACCCAGAGTGGTCAGTGAGAAGGATGTAGCCCTGCCTGGCCCCTCTTGGCTATGGCTTTGGGGAAGATGGCCAGGAGAGCTACCTAGGCCGTGCTGGCCAGGCATTGCCTTTTGGGTATACCAGCATTTGATTATACACAGTGGCATGGAAGTCATGGCAGTACTTCAACTACCTGCCCTCTTTCTCATCCCTGTGTCCATGTGGCCACCTTTTGGGTGACAGAACTGGGATGTCCTCTGCAAAAAGCTTCCTCAGCCACAGCCCCTTCCTAGTCTTGGTCAGCACTTGGTGCCTGATTAGTTGTTATCCATCTCATTTGCCACTCAGCTACTGAGCTACCCCACAACAGGCGCTGGGCCTGGGAGGGTCTGGTGGTGAACTTGACTGATTAATGGGCCAGTCATGTCTTTAGTATGCTAGGGAGCTGGCCCCAGGCACCAGGAGTGCCTTCCACAGCCCACTGTTCTGCTTTGAGTTCTTGGTGTTCATGGTTGTCTGGTCCACCATCCAGCCATTTGCCTGTGGCCTCCATCTGGGGCCATGAACTAGTAGCCTCAGCCTTTCTTCTGGAGAAGCTGAGACCCGGATGCATACATGATACTGGCTGTGACAAAGGCTCAGCCAGAGGCAGCACCAGTACACAGGGAGCCATTTCAGGAGCAAAAGTGAGACAAGGACAATGTCTGTACATGGCAGCTACCATTGTCCTCACTGTCAGGCAGCCCATCATAAAGAGTGCTCCCAAAGCAGCTGCTGTCCCAGCCCAGGTCATGGGCAGAATGTCTAGAAGTGGTAGCTGAGTGCTCACCTCACCAACACCCAGTGACCCGGCACTTCAGCATGGTCCAGTTCCAAGCCTGTACAGTGTTGTCTTTATAGGTGGATGTTGCCAGATGGTGGCAGTCTACTGTCTACCAGACCTCTGCAAGTACTCCAGCCTTGTAGGCTCAGTCTTTGTCGTGATGGAGAGCCTGCTTCCGCTTTTGGACTCGTACCTCTCTAGCATTGCTCAGAAACACTGCCCAGCAGGGTGGATGCCCACTGAAACTGTTAGAGGACCTACCCTGAGCCAAGACCCATGCAGTTGCTGGCATCCCTGGATGGGTCCCATGGTTAGTGTTCTCAACTGCTGACCAAGTGATTGGAGGGTCAAGTCTACTCAAAGGAGCATGAGAGAAAAGGTCTGGAGATCAGCTTCTGAAAAATCATCCTTGGACACACAGTGGGCAGTGCTCCTGCCACACAGGGAAGACTTGCCAAATGGCTCTTGGTTTTGTTTGTTTCCTAGGAACAGTGTTAGAGTTATTACTTGAGTAACCAGTATGTTTAAATGTTTGAGTCTGTTACTGATCTTTGAATACAGACCAATTTCTATTTATTTATTCGTCTTTTTTTCTCACTTGTTTTCCAGGCAAGCCAATTTTCTCAGTTGATATTCACCCTGACGGGACCAAGTTTGCAACTGGAGGACAAGGTGCGTCACACACACACACGCACACACACACACACACACACACACTCCTCTAACCCCTGTCCCCCATGGTTTGTTCTTCCTCTCTTGGTTCAACTGCTTAGGATTCATGTGGTCATTCACCTCTTGGACTCCAGGGAATTCAGCTCAGTCAGGAGAAAGCACTCTGGGAGCAGGTGAAAAGACCCACACCAAGGGATGACCTGACCCATAGCTTGGTTCCCAGCTTCACTTAATGTCTCAACACCAAGGTGTGTCTGATGGCAGAGTGACTGTGAGGGCAGAGCCTAACCCCACATGATTTTTCCCCTAAAGCTGGGTCTCTCTTTGACTCAGACAGTGCCTTTGTGAGTTCTGTGACCTGAGGTCATGAGCAGCAGACGCCTCTGCCCCAGGAGAAGTTCAGGGGCACCGACTGGGCAGGGCAGGGAAGGAGCTGCCTCCTTTCTCTGAGCTGTGAGAGTCGCTGGGGCCTGGGTGAGGAGGTGCTTTCTCCTTGTCCACTTAGGAGGTCCAGCTTTCTCAGTAGTAGGTTGAGGACAGAGATTTAAGAAAAGCTGTAATGCTTACCTGTTGACCCAGCAGCCATTCCACATGTGTGGTTTTTCTGGCATGTCTGTTTCCAGACAGAAGGAACCCTGGTGTCTCAGTGGCTTAAGTGTCGGTTTGCTAGATCTGAAAGATCAGTTGAGCCCATCAGCCACTGGTGGGGGGGGGAGGGTGGGGGGGGGCAGTTTGCCCTCAAAAATCGTCAACCTCAGAAACCCTGTGGGACAGTTCTAGTATGCCCTCCAGGGTCACTATGAGTCGGAAGTGACTCACTGGCAGTGGATTTACCTTTTTTGGTATCAGGCAGCTATTGAGCCCCTGATTAAGAGTTGAACTGCTGTTAGGTCAGCAGTTCAAATCTACCAGCTGCTTCTCAGAAAAAGATGAGACTGGCTGCTCCCATAAAGAAGAGCAGCTTCAGAAACCCTAGGGAAGCATTCTACTCTGTCCTGTAAGGTCACTTTGAGTCAGAGCCAGATTAATGGCATTGGGTGTATGGGGTGGGAGGTAGGGGGAGGGTCTATTTCCAGAAGTGTACTGTAATAGGAAGTTGGGAACGGGACTAGACTTTCATTGGGTACCAGTTGTGGGAAGTGCAGAAAAAGAAATGATTAGTAAACCATATAGTTGTGTTTTCTATGAAAGCCGTGCCTTTGAGTAGAGCCACAGAAACCCCAAGTCCCCTTGTTCATTCAGTTCACTTCTCATTTGTAGGCGACTGAAGGACTGACCAGGAAACAATGAGCCTTGTGCCTATGTTCAGGCTGCATCTCAGACATGGGTCAGCTATAGGGCTAGTCATGGACTCCATCCACACAGGGCTCCACAGGGGAGGGAGACCCCAACAGGAGCTGTGCTTAGTTTCTAGGGCGAAGGTATCCTTTGAACTGTTGACTTGTCCTGGGCAAAAATGAGGTCTTGTGTTCTCAGGGCCCCTAGTGGACACATGTTCAAGGCTAGACTAGAACACAGGTGCCTCCTCACTGTTAGACTAGGATTCTTTTTTTTGTTTGTTTGTTTTACAGAGATATTATTAGTTTTTGCTTACTTTTGGAATTCTAACTACTGTGAGAATGATTTGAAATGTGGTTGTTTAAAGATTACTAAATTAAGAAATTTCCAGCTTTATCCAAATATCTTCTTCAAGTTGGTTTTGTTTGTCCCTTCCTTATAAAGGCTGTGTTATTGGTATGCTGTGGTGTTAGGTTGGGATGGATTTCTTTCCCACTCATAGGGAGCTCAAATATGTACCTGTAGTTCTAGAAACCTCCAAATGGGGAGCGACAGCCCTTAAAACCGCTCTTGAGATGTAAAAGAGGAGAGGTAGCTTCTTTGTCCCCCCAGTTTGGGCTGGATGGAGCAAGAAGAGACTCCTGACACAGATTAGGGTTCTTTATGTCACGTCTGGTTGCTCTCTGTCTCCTCATTCTGTCTTCTCATTGGCTCCCACAAGGATCTGCCTTTCTTCATTTCCATAACTGACAGCAGCCATTCTAATGGAGCCTTTAGTTGCAGCTCGCTAGAGTGGGTGGGAGGGATCTATGGGAGGCCTGACCGTCCCAACTACTCTCTGCCATCAGCTTTCTGCCATTCGCACATTGAGTTCTTCTTAACCTTTATTTCCAGGGCAGGATTCTGGGAAGGTTGTGATCTGGAATATGTCACCAGTCCTCCAGGAGGATGACGAGAAGGATGAGAATATCCCCAAGATGCTCTGCCAGATGGACAATCATTTAGGTATTTCAGAGTGGCCCTTGCAGGCTTTGTGTGTTGGCAAAATGCCCACAATTAGTAGGTGTGTTCATAATTAGAAAGCTAAGGCCCAGTGTGGCGATAACTGGCCTAGGCCTGCTCTCTGAAGGCACAGATGTTGGCTGCACACCAGGGTGAGTTATTTGACAGAAGACTCAGCCCACCCATAGAACTATCCTTGGACAGTCTGCAGGTACCACTGGTGATTTCTTGCTCAGCAGTCCTTACTACCTGATCCATGGGGCTTTGGGGCCAGTGACCTGAATACGGGAAGCTTCTGGGAAGGGGACAAAGACCACTCACCATAAGGCCACTTAGAGGGTCTCCAAGTGGGACTGTGTATGGCACTCAGATTCTCCCTGCCACGACCCTTTGGCCACTGGCCAGTGTCAGGGTCGCCTTCCTGCTCTTGTGCCTTCAACTCCTGCCCGAGCATCAAGGTAACTGTAGCGAGCTCAGACTTCCAGCCCAGTACTCTCCGTCCAGGGACCACTCTGGATGCCCCACTGGCCTGCTGGTGCATGGTGCCTGGAGCACCAGTGATTGCCGGGCCATGTTTAGCTGTCACCTTGACAATGGCCTTTGTATACTGGGGACTCCTGGACCTCCTGACTTGGAAGGGGGCCTGTCTGCGAGAGCTTTACCTTGAGGCCCAGAATCCGTCTCCAGCCCAGGTGAGTTTGGAAGATCCAAATGTAAAAGCGCAAGGAGCCCCAGTGATGCTGTGGGATAAGCATTGGGCTACTATCCACAAAGAGTCACAGCGCCAGGAAGCTTAGGGAGCAGTTCTATTGGGGCCAGGGTGTGGTACCCCATCAGACTCAACTGGAAAACACTCATAAAGGTCAACAAACAGACCTGGAACTATTTGTAGCTTTTCTTTTGTTGTTGGTTTTTATTGGTTGTTGTTTTGTTTTTTTCTTTCTTTTGTTGTTTTGGCCTGTTTTTGTGCTTATTATTGTCTCTGCATGTCTATCTAGATAAGATAGGTGGAATAAACAATCCGGAGGGCAAAACAATGGGACCGATGGTTCGGGGGGACACAGGAGAGGGGGAGGCTGGGGAAAGGAAGGGGGGAGCCAACAAACCCAGGAACAAGGGAACAACAAGTGATCTAAAATCAATGGTGAGGAGGGTGTAGGAGACCTGGTGGGGCTCGATCAAGTGCAATGTAGCCGGGAGGAATTACCAAAACCTGAATGAAGGCTGAACATGATAGTGGGACAAGAGGAAAGTAAAAGGAAATAGAGGAAAGAATTAGGAGGCAAAGGACATTTATAGAGGTCTAAATACAGGCATGTACATATATTTAGATATTTGTTAAGTATTAAGGCAGCAGATGGACATTGGGCCTCCACTCAAGTACTCCGTCAATGCAAGAACTCTTTGTTATAATAACCTAGCATTCTGTGATGCTCACACCATCACTGAAGACAAAATTGGTGCATATGTAAATGTGAAGGAAGCTGATGGTGCCCAGCTATCAAAAGATACAGCCTCTGGGTTCTTAAAGGCTTGAAGATAAGCAAGCAGCCATCTAGCTGAGAAGCAACAAAGCCTACAAAGATCACACCAGCCTGTGTGATCATGTGATGTCTATGGGATCAGATATCAGGCATCAAAGACCCAAAACAAAAAATCATATTCATGTGAATGAGAGGGAGGGCAGAGTGGAGACCCAAAGCCCATCTGTAGATAATTGTGCATCCCCTTACAGAAGATTCACAAGGAAGAGACTAGTCAGGGTGCAGTATAGCAACCCCCTTCCCCCATCATGACCCCAATTCTACCTTGCAAACCCAGCTAGACCAGAGTATGTACACTGGTACAGCAAGGAGCTAGAAACACAGGGAATCCAGGACAGATAAGCCCCTTAGGACCAATAATGAGAGTAGTGGTACCAGGAGGGCAAGGGGAAGGTGGGGGGAGAAAAGGGAAACTGATCACAGTGATCGACATGTAACCCCCTCCCAGCAGGACGGACAGCAGAAAAGTTAGTGAAGAGAGATAGCAGTTGGTGTAAGACATGAAAAAAAAAATTTATAAATTATCAAGGGTTCATGAGGGGAGGGTGAAAATGAGCTGATACCAAGGGCCCAAGTAGAATGAAAATGTTTTGAAAATGATGATGGCAACATATGTACAAAAGGATGTATGTATGGATTGTGATAAGAGCTGTAAGAGCCCCCGATAAAATGATTTAATAAAAACATCCCAGTAAGGAAACAAAAAAGGTGGGGGAAAAGCAGGGGTGGGGGAGTAGTTCTTTGTGTCGCTTAAGTCAGAATTGACTGGCTGCCCCTTGGAAAGTCTAGAAAAGACCTATTGAACACATACTCTCATGTCAAGAGGCGTTCCTACCCAGCTGTCCAACTAGTGGACAGCCCTTCCGAAAGCATAGTGTTTGTGATGCGGGCCTCCTGTTGGCTTGTTCCCTCAGGCAGCTCTTCCTGCTCTAGCCCCGTTCTGGTCATTTGCTATCTCAGCACAAATCGCCAGTACTTTTCCTGGGTCTCACTCAGTAACTGTGATGAGCAAAAGACATGAATCGGTTTTATAAACCCTTTATTTTACATCTTGCCAAACTCTGCAAAAAGCAAAAGGGCCATGACTCCTGGATGTTCATCACCCTGTTTGTTTGTTTGTTTTTCTTCCCAGCATGTGTGAACTGTGTGCGGTGGTCAAACAGTGGCATGTATTTAGCTTCTGGGGGAGATGACAAACTGATTATGGTGTGGAAGCGGGCTACGTAAGCATCATTTTCCTTCTTCACATTTTATTTCTAGAAGCTTCTCATGGGCCTTCTCCTAAGTCCCCTGTCCCTACCCTGGCACTGAAGGTCCCCAGAGCTCCACCTTTGTAGATAATAGGAAGGACCCAGAGAGAGTTGCAGGTATATAATTGGTATTAATTATACCCCTACCTCCATCCTTGGTGACATGAGTCTGGGCTGCACAGTGCCCCTTGAAGATGCAAGGCTTAGCCCTCCGAGGACTAATATGTCTCTTCAAATGAAGTGTCCCATAGGACCCCAACATACAAAATGATCCAAAGTCAAGGTGTTCAATGGGTTTCGAGGTGGGGCCCCAGAACCCACCCACTTTGCCATTCACCCCATTGTACTTCAGCCTAAATCAGGGCTCTCCCTGAGATCTCCTGCGGCACATCTAGAATGAGCTGGCCATCACCTCAATATTTTCCTTCAAACCTGAGGGGAAGAGTCTCATGGCTTCCAGGAGCCTGTGCCATCAGGCTCAGTGACCTGTGACTCTGGGATAGTTGTGCCGGGAGGCAGACCCCACACATTGCTCAGCTGGTGTAGTCCTGTAACAACCTCAACGGCAGAAGACTGCCAGCCCCTTGGCCCACCTGGCACTTTGGCACGACTATGAGGAATTTTACAGGAGGAGCTCAGGGGGTGACAGGGACTCTGAATATTGCTGGTCTCAGTGCTACCTCCACTGCAAGGCCCCTATGATTGTTCATGTAGAAGGACCAGTGGCTCCACTGGTCTCTCTGCGTCTGCTCTGAAGAGTGATGTAAAAAAACCTCACCACTATTGTTAAATACCACTTGCAGTACTTAACCTTGAAAACTGAAATAATATATATAGCAGAGAAAATGACTCACACACTGCTCCCCCTACCCCTTGACAACCAGGGCTATTACTATATTGGTATTTCTCTTTCCATATATAGCTATCAGCCCTGATACGTGCATTTCTGTACCTCAATGAGAGCGTCTCATGTATGATGTCCCCCTGGCTTGCGCCTCTTACCTGGTTATATATTGTGGCCATTTCCACAGGTCATCTTTGACCATGAGAGTTTGGGAATTTTTTAGTTGTTCTTGCACACCCTTTTCTCCTTGAAACTTATTTAACCACAGAGGTGTGCTATGGGTGGCCATCTAAAGTACTCTGGAATTTTTAACGGTTTCATAGTATTTCATTCCAAGGTCATGTTCTGTTGCCTACCTTGTTGGAGCCCATCTCTGAGCAGTATGGTTGTCCCCAGCCCTTGTTTGTGGCTTTGATCTTCTGGCCACAATAAAAAGTGCTGTCTATAGCGAGCATCTCTGCCATGCCCAACTTTTCCCATGAGCACCTTGTTGCTGCCTCTCTCCCACAGGTATATCGGCCCCAGTACTGTCTTTGGCTCCAGTGGCAAGCTTGCCAACGTGGAGCAGTGGCGCTGTGTCTCCATCCTGCGAAGTCATTCAGGCGGTGAGTGGAGCTGCCATTGAGTTGGGTGGACCCCTGTGCCTAGGCTGCCCTCCTGTCCCCTTTCCACCATGCCCTCGTCTATGCATTCTGGGGCCCCCACTCCTGCCCTCACAGGGGGTCTGTTTCTGTCTTTAATGTAGTACTTTCCATATCCTGCTATTTGTCCTGGTGAACTGAATCAGTACCTTCAGCAGTGGAGCACAAAGTCTGTAAGCATGCTTTATTTATTCCACCGAACCCAGCACATGGGTGCCCACTGGAAAGCTGCTGACTCGACCTTGAGTGTGTTTACAAAGTGCCTTTAAATGGACTGGATGTGGAAAGAGCTACATTCTACACATTTGGGTTCAAGAGGGGGGTTGGTCTTATACCAGCCTACAACCATGTGGCATACGCTGTGTGGAAGACCAGAATGAATAGAATGTAGACTTATCTTTGCCTGTACCCTAGCCCAGCCCATGTGATGTACACTATGAAACAGGGAGATGGAGTCTAGACTTCGGGGGAATGTACTAAGGAAAGAGATCAAGGAAATCTGCTTGTAGGAGGCAAGTATCTAGAAAATCGTGAATAAAAGGGTTTTTCAGGCAGAACAGGCATCACAGGCCAGGGCCCCATGTGAGAACAGGTGGAATATGAAAAGTGAAGAGGCAGCATTTCACCTTTATTGCATCTTTACCTATGAGGCAAGGCGCATCACAAAACAAGGTGAGTCAGATGTGCAGGGACCAGGAAGGCTTGTGTTCTTGGGAGTGAATATACCCTTTATCAAGTCTGTCTTAGACCAGGTTCTCCTGAGACGCAAACCCAGTGAAGCTTATATATGTGTATGTACAGAGAGGTTTATCTCAAGCTCACACCGTTTAGAGGTGAGCAAGTTCCAAGTCTGTGCATCAGATGTCAAGCTAGAGGCTTCTCCTGACGCTCTTAGTTTCAGGGGCTGGTGAATCCCAGATCAGGTCAGATGACAAGCTGCTAGTAATAGAGGTGAATGAAAGTTGGCTGGTAGGATGGCAGTTGCTGATAACTCCCAAGATTGGCAGGCAATATGTCAGACCGCTGGCTCAAGTACAAATGCCCAGAGGTCAGATGCAAGATGCAGACTCAGCAAAAAAGCAGCCCCCCACCCTGGAGGAAATCTCATCATAGAGGTTTCCTATGTCTTAACTGCTAAATCACTGAAAATCCTGGTCCAGCCAAGGTGACCAAAAAAACCTTAGCTATCACAATGCAACGGACAGAGAGCCATTGGAAGCTGTGAAGCACCAGAGGGTGAAGATGGCAGCTGTGTGAAGAAGGGGATGATTGCAATAGATACAAGGGCCTGAAGCAGACCTGTGATAATTGAGATAACGGGGGGTGGGGGTGGGGGTGGGGGGGTTGGTGGAAATATGTGAAGGGAAGATACCTAGCCAGGTGTCTGCATGGCTAGTGGCATCCTCTACCAAGACCATAACCACAACAGGAAACCACCGGATTCTAAGGACAAGCACCAATTCACTGTGAATTCTATCCTGTTTGAGGGCATGGAGGAAGTCTAGAGACTGTTGGAGTTGAGGTTCAAGGGAGACGCTAAAGCAAGAGAAAGAAATTTGGAAAGCATCGGTAATAATGTGGAACCGTAGATTCTCCACAAATCCCATGTAGATAGGTCAAAGGGAGACAAGGCCATCGTTTGGTGACCACAGATGGAGCACATGTGTGTGAAAGGTGGAACAATAGTATTCTGTTGTCAAGGACAAGAAGAATGTATAATTTTCCCTCATTTATTTCACAGCTGCTTAATGGTACAGACCCGTGGGGCTGCTCTGGAGCACAGTGCATGTCCACACGTGGGCCAGGGCCTCCAGAGGAGAGTTTTACAGAGCCCCTAACCTGGCACTCAGGCCAAGCTGTAACCTCCAGCCCTTGGGTCTCCTTTAGCAGACAGGTGGTGTTGGTCACCTTCAACTGGGCTACCTGCCCCTCATGGTCACTGGTTTTTGGTAGCAGATATGAGTGGAACAGTGCCAGAAGAAAATACAAAATTTCAATATTAACACCAAAGAGCCTAAACAGAATAATTATTGTTCAGCATACAGAAGTTGAAGACCACCTTTGGAAATGGCTACTGATCCCTAAATTCTTTATTGGTGCATTCTCTCAAACTTTTAAGAGCAATTATTCCAGAAAAGAGAAATGTTTGTTCTTCAAAGAAAGATACAATTTTGGTTTTCCACAATCTAAAAAAAAATACCAGTGAAACAAAAACACATAGCCTGCTAAGAGTAAAAAGAAAAAGTGTAAACAAAATACTAGTGAATGTGGAATTATTGGAAAGCCGTGGGAGAATTGTGCAGTGTGAAGAAATCTGTTAATATAATTTAACACACAAGGAAATTACTGGATATAGTTGAGTATAAACTGACCCGAACATCAGCCGAGGCACCTAATTTTACCACAAAAACTGCATTAAAAATGTGCTAAAAAACTCAGTATATAAAAACACAAGTATATGCAGTAAATAAGAAAAAATCCGTTATCTCAGGAACTGGACTAAAAGGGATTTCATATAAATCCACCATCAGTTCTTAATGAAAACCCTTTTTCCACATGGCGAAGGAAGCTATTTCCTCAACCTACTGGTCATTTTCAAACCAGCAGCAAATATCACAGCTCTTGGCTCCCTGCAGATCAAGAAAAGGCAGGGCTGGGTACTTTCTCAGTTAATGCATTGTTTTGGAATTATGACACAAGGGAACAGAAATCAGAACAAAAATAAATGTCCACTTGGACAAAAAATCCTGGTCCTGCTAAGAAACCAGAAGATAACATCCTTGGAAACAATGAGGAGTCAGGGTACCTTTTTGACCAAGGTTCTCAGGCTGAGAGGGTGACATTTGAGTACAGCTCAGATAGTGGTAAGGCAGTAGTTCTCAGCCTGTGGTTCTCGACCCCTTTGGGGTTGTAAAACGACCCTTTCACGGATTTCCGATGGTCTTAGGAACTGAGACACCACTCCTCTATCTGTCTCCAGGTGGGTCCACCCACATGTGGATATGCCCACCTACGAGTACCGGCATGGAGATTGTTATCCATGCTACACCATGCTTCAAGACAAAATTTCATTGAGTAATTAGAAATAAATATTTCACAATATATAATTACATATTGTTTTTGTGATTGATCACTATGGTTTAATTATGTTTAGTATGTAACAATGAAAATACATCCTGCGTATCAGATATTTACATTATGATTCATAACAGTAGGGAAATTACAATTAAATTTCATTAGCAATGAAAATAATGTTATGGTTGGGGATCACCACAACATGAGGAAGTGTATTAAAGGGTCGCAGCATTAGGAAGGTTGAGAACCACTGGTGGTAAGGGGACCTTCATGTGGGCACCTGGGAGAGCCTTCTAGGCAGAGGAAACAGCCAAGGCAAAGCCCTGCTTGATGTGTTCAGAGAATAACCAGGGTGCTGGGGCAGAGTGAGTGGAGAGGGGACAGAAGTGGTGAGCTGGGAGCCTGGGCTGTGCAGCCTTTTGTGAGGGGCTCTTTCCCAGAGAGCCTCTATATCCATAGGGCCATCAGGATATTTAAAACTTCATTTGCGGGCCACGCTGGTCAAATGTCTAATGAACTCGCCTCTCATGATGGCTGAAACAGCTTCTAGTTGGTGAAGCATGTGATGTTAGCTAGTATTGATGATTTTGTCAGCCTTACACGGCTCTTAGGCCCGGGCTTTGAGTAGAAGAGTGATGAGTCTGCGGGAGGCCGTCCTGGAGAGTCAAAGGCATCATTGGGGGCTAGTACAATAATTAGGGCGAGACATGGCGAGGTTGGGAGCTGGGTTGTGCCAGGGGATGTAGTGAGAGGACAACATGCAGCTCTCTTTAAAGGTGTAGCCAGTTCACTTTCCTGGTGGGTTGATAGGCTGTGAGGTATCCGGAGCAAAGGAAACAAGAGTGGCTACAAGGTTGTGGGCCGAGCAGTGCAAAGGAGGCAAGCGCTAACCCCTGAGTTGGGGAAGGATAGATGGGGGCAGGTTTGGGGGAAGTTGTAGAGGTTTAGGGTTAGACATGTGGAAGCTTATCCAGCTTATCAGAAGCGTGGGTGAGTAGACACTCCATGTAGGCAGTCAGTCAGTGGGGATAGAGTCCATGGGTGGGATCTGGGGCTTGCTGGAGGTGAAGAGCCAGCCAGAGAGCCTGCCAGGAAGGGCTGAATGAAGTTGCATTTCCAAACAACACCACAGGGCCTAGGGAGGCATCAGTGAACAGCCACGGCAGACTGATTCTCACCGCAGCATTTTGTTGGGGAGAGGACGTGTATGTACATTCTCCCGAGACAGACCATACTCAAATAAGCAGCAGATGTTAACCAGAGAACACCTCTACCAATTCAACCAGGAAACAACAGAATTGAATGTGTACTAACCTCTAGCAGAGGGACTATTCGAAACTAAACGTAATGCCATCAAGTCTATTCCAACTCATAGTGACCCTATAAGACAGGGTCACTGCCTGGGTTTCCAAGACTCACTCATTATGGAAACAAAAAGCCTATCTTTCTCCTGTGGACTGGTGGTTTCAAACTGCTGATCTTGCTGTTTAGCAGCACAATGCACAACCCACTACACCACCAGAGCTCCAAATAGAAAATATTAACAAGGAGCAAATAGACATCACAGAGGGGAATGATGGCTTTGTTTGGTACCTAAAACTGGCAGCCAGTTTTAGAAAGGTGAATTGATGACTTTACAGCCAATGTCTGGGTTACAAATGCTGCATGGAAGTGCTGAGAACGTCACTTCTCCTGGGCCCCCAGCTGATGGTTCCTCCTCTGTCCTAGAACTTGAGTACCAGGTGAAATTCCAGTGGTCTACACATCTGCCTTTCCCATACACTGAGCTGCTAGGGAGGGGCTGGTGAGTTGGCTTGGTTTATGGAGGCCCTGCTTGCTTGTTTGTTAGATGTGCTGCCCAAAAGACCTTCTTGCCGGTACCCACAGGATCTGAGACCATTAAAAAGAACCAATTTCTACAATAGATATGACAGTTCCTCACTTAGATGAATACAGTTCACATGAAACACTGTAAAATATACAATCTAGAGCAGTGGTTTTCAGCCTTCCTAATGCTACGACGCATTATTACAGTTCCTCATGTTCTTGTGACCCCTAACCATAAAATTATTTTTGTTGCTACTTCATAACTGTAGTTTTGCTATTGTTATGAATCGGGTGATCCCCGTGAAAGGGTTGTTCAACAACCCCCCCCCCCAAGGGGTCACGACCCACAGGTTGAGAATCGCTGATCTAGAGGGACCCAGCGTAACTGGTTGATTCCCGTTGGATGCCTTGGAAGGAAGAGGTGCCCCTCAAAGTGTCTTGGAGGTGAGACCATTCTCATGAGAAGGAGTTGGGCCGGACAGTGATGTTAGCTTGTTCACTTGTTCAGTGAATCTTTCTCAAGCCTTTATGTGTGCTGGGCATTCTATTCTGCTGTGTGTGTGGCTCACAGCAACTCACTTAATGCCCAAGAGGCTCTCTGAGGAAGGGCCAGTTGTGGGTGGAGAAACGAGCTCTCGTGAGGACCAGGCTAAGAACTGAGCGTGCATCAGAGTCCCAGTGTGTGATGCCTGATGCTGAACTTTCATGGCCTCATCTGAGCTGATGAGATGTCATAAACTTGCAAATACTTACTGACTGACTGCAAATGCTTCCTGGGGAATATTTTTTCAAATGAGTTTTAAGAGAGAAAAAACAAACGCTGGTTCTGATGGTATCCAGCAAAGGACCCTTAGTTAGGCACACAGACCCCCGAGGCTGCTGCCTGCTTGCTCAGCAGTTCGAGGTAGTGTTGACTACCCCCACTGTCACCCAGTTCTTCATATGCTGCCTGAGACTCTGCTCTTCTTTCCAGATGTGATGGATGTGGCGTGGTCACCCCATGACGCCTGGCTGGCCTCGTGCAGCGTGGACAACACGGTTGTCATCTGGAATGCTGTGAAGTTCCCAGGTCTGGTGCCTCCCTCCAGCCCCCTTCAACCCTTGCTGAGCTGCTCTCCTGTGTGGCCACTGCCTTTCTCCCTAGTTCTGGCACCAGCCCTTGTGTCCTGGAGGCTGGAGTTCTTTGTGTCCTGTCAGTAACCATCCCTCTTTTTTTTTAACCCCCCCCACCACTCATAATCAGTTGTATATATTTGAGGCTTAAAAAGAAAGTTGCATTTTCACATTAAAGGAAAATGTTAGCTAAGTGCTAGCTCAGGTGATGCAGGTCATGAGGGCAGTGTGTGGACAGCTGGGTCTCACATGCACATGGGCCTGGCTCAGTGACACTGCCCTTGGGTTGTACTTACTACATCTGTGCTAGGGCCTTCCCTCCACTGTCTTCTCTTCAGGGAGGCCCCTCGGTAAGATAGGGACTCACACAGCTCCCAATCTAGTTTTTCATATGGACTGTGTTCAACCATACCAGACCCACTGCTGTTGAGCCCATTCTAACTCACAGTGACCCAGTCGGACAGAGTAGAACTGCCGCTTGGCAGTTTCTGAGCCTGGCAGTTTCAGGCTTTGCAGGAGCAGACAGCCTCATCTTTCTCCTGAAGACTGACTACTGGGTTCAGACCATCAACTTGTGGTTATCAATGTGTGACCCCTTGAGCCACCATAGATCATTAGTGTGTTTAATGTTATAATGAGATAGCCTGGCACGTGACTGCATTTTGATATCTAGAAAAAGATTTTTCTTGCCTCCGGTCCATGTTTGAGATCTGTTTTCCCTTTTGTGGGGACATCTGAGATGAGAGGCCCGTTCCCACCCAGCAAGCTGCCCAGCAGTTCACAGCAGAGGTGCTCTGGTCACTGCCTTGGGTTTCAGTCCATGAGATGACGTCATGGGCTTGGCTGTTTGGTACCTCCAGCCCACGCACAGACAAGCTGGCTTTCTGCCTTCTGGTCGGGCTGCTTTTGTCTGAGGGGAGAGCAAATTAGAGGACTCTTCTGCTTGTGGCAAGAATGCCTAGTGGTGTGGTAGGCTACGTGTAACAGCAAGGACAGTGATTCGAACGCACCAGTTGCCCCCTGAGGAGAAAGACGAGGCAGTCTGCTTCCAAAAATATTGACAGCCTTAGAAACCCTAGCAGTTTTATCCTATCCTACGGAGTTGTTGTGAGTCCAAATTGACCCCGTGGCAGCAGGTTTGGCTTGGTTAAACACTTGGTTTGTGGGGGGAAGGCGGTGGAGTTGACCTGGGCTGGCTCCCGAGTCCCCACCTCTCCTTGGTTCTCCATCCTGTGGCTCATGGACTGCCACTCCTGTTTATCTGCGTGAAATCACACTGTTTTCCCTTAGGTAAGCTGCTTTTCCAACTTTCTTATGATTTATCTATTTTTTTCCTACAGAAATTCTAGCTACTCTAAGAGGTCACTCTGGTTTGGTTAAAGGGCTGACCTGGGATCCTGTTGGCAAATACATTGCCTCTCAAGCTGACGACCGCAGCCTGAAGGTGTGGCGCACACTGGACTGGCAGTTAGAGACCAGTATCACCAAGCCTTTTGATGAGGTAACTAGAGACACAGCCCAGAGTTTGGCCCCAAGTCCTGGCGCTTGAGTGGGCTCCTACAGGCTTCCTGAAGGGGCCCCTCAGAGCCGGCTGGCGGGCATGCTTTCTCTCTTTGCAAGGCAGAAATTGAGGGTACGTGTTCCTTCAAAGTCAGAGTGTGAATCTCAGGTCCCCTCTTCAACCCTGGCTTGTTTTTGGCAGTGTGGAGGTACAACCCATGTGTTGCGGCTCAGCTGGTCACCCGATGGGCACTACCTGGTGTCTGCTCATGCTATGAACAACTCCGGCCCCACTGCCCAGATCATTGAACGGGAGGGCTGGAAAACCAACATGGACTTCGTGGGGCACCGGAAAGCCGTGACTGTTGTGGTGAGTGCATCTGGGCTTGGTGGGGGCCCTGGCAAGTGTCTTTGAGTCCAGGTGTCCAGCTCCCAGTCAACACCTTATCTTCAGAACAACCTGGTGGCATGGGAATGAGGTATTGGGCTACCAGATTCTGGACATAGCAGAATCATGTTTCCTTTTAAATACATTTAAATATTTGAAAATGAGTTTTACAAAATAAAATGCTCGCATGTTTTATTGGGAAGAATGACTGGCAAATACCACCAAACCAAGTCTTTGACTAGGAGCATCGGGGCTGCTCAGGGGAGCTTGTGTATAGTGGCCCTGGCAACCACCCCGCCCACCAAGTCCTGCATGTATCCTGGCTAGAGACTTCTGGATTTGTCTCCTTGGTGGAGGGGAAGCAGCCAGCAGACATGGGTCCCAGTACCATCTCAGGAAAAAGAACCTCTTATCTCCACCTTCGTGTGTCAGACAACCTCAGAGCCAGCTGAGACTGGTAAAAGTGGAGGGTCATTTGGTGCCTGGTCTCAGGATTTGAATCAAACAACAAACCATCCTTATCATTCTATTCTTTCTGCGGGTCCAGCAAAAAGTACTGGCTGCTTGGGCTCCAGTTCACACATGTTCGGGTTTATTCCCAGTGTAATTGGTTTAAACACATCTCTGTCATCACTGGATGGGCACAGAGGGGTCCTCTCAGTAATATGCTTATCTTAGTCTCGTCAGGAGGCCCTCCCACCAAAAGATCCAGTCAGAACAGTGGCTTCCTAGGAGGGGGTAGGTTCAAGGCAGAGAAGTCAGCCCAGAAGGTTATGGCGCCTTCAGAATTCCAAACAGCTTGATAGATGTTTTTGAAAGACGGGACAGTCAAGAGAGGCTAATTAGGAGGAAGTTATACAAATAGAAAAGGGCGTTGGCCGAAATGGTTGTGTTGAGGATTTCCACCACCCCCGCCTTCCAAACACTGCACCTGTTCCCTCTTCAAGGGTAGGAAGTCTTGTCCTCAGAGAAGTTGGTTGGGAAACTTGATCCCATCCACCTTCCAGCCCTGATATTGCTCCTTCTGATTTCTTTTTCTTCCCCAAACTCAAGGGCCACATCAGAGGAACACAATTTGAGTTTACTGCGGGTTTCTAGACTGCCGATTTGACTTGGTGTGAATCAAAGAGCGTGGGACAAGTTAGAGGGAGGGACAGAGATGGAGACGCTTTACAGTTTGCTGTCTTTATGCAGTAAACACTACTGTACTTCATAACATTTTGTAGTAAATATATAATAAGTATCAGAGATGGTGACTTAACAGATACATTTTACAGGAAAACAATAACTGCTCCAGTGTTTTTAAATGGCACACAGGTAGAGTTTGCTAACATGCCTAGCATTACCAACTATTGGGATGCTCTCACAGTAGCTGTTCCTGCACCCCTTACTCTAAGCAATGGCTGGGGTTGCCGGTGACACCTGCATCATGGGGGAGTGCCGCGGAGCTCTTTGAAGCCAACTCTCTGAGTTCTGTTTTCAGTCTCTCCACCCTTGAGGAGCCCTGGTGGTTTGGTAGTTAAAGCACTCCGCCACCAACCAAAAAAGTCAGGTTCAAGCCTGCCTACTGCTCCTTGAGGGAAAGATGCAGCAGTTGACGTCCATACAGGTTTGCTGGCTCACGATCCCAGGGAGCAGTTCTTTGTCCCATGGGGTCGCTGTGAGTCGGAATCGACTCTGCAGCCATGGACTTATGTGCCACTTGCCATCTCTGTCTGTCCTATAGTGTGAGCCACCCAACCACCAGGGACACCGAATTTCTGATAAGGGTGATGGAACAATTTGGGTGTGGTTAATGGTGGAATTAGCAGCATGATGGATGATGGGCACCCATGTTATTACCTAACCTGTGTCCGAAGCCTCACTGAATAGGTGATAATATTACCTGTTTATTCAACACACACACACACACACACACACACACACACACACACACACACACACACCACACTCAGGCCAGGCCAGCTGGTGCCAGGGTCCACATGGTCCCGAGAAGCTACCTTTTCTTCCTTGTCTTCCTGGCTTGGGGATTCCTTGTCTACCAAGAGATCCTCAGCCTTTAGGCCGAGGGTTTGGGAGCACTGTGCATGCCCAGCCTTTCCAGAATGGCCCACAGGCTGCCAGTCCTAGGTGAACAGTGGGTGCAGAAAGGGGAGCAAGCCTTCAACTCTCAGCCCCTAAGCTGCTCCCTATCCAGCTTAGACAATGGAGTGCAATTGGCTTTTGAGGCTTCAAGCGGGCTCTGCTTCTTGGTGCTTTCCAGCCAGCCCCCAGAAAACACTCCGGGGTGGCTGTACTAGTGCCTGAGCTCCAAAGAGCATGCCCAGATGTGGGGCAGGCTGGTTGCTTGAATCACTGTTTCATCTCTGCCACTCGACTTTAGAAATTCAACCCCAAAATCTTCAAAAAGAAGCAGAAGAATGGAAGTTCAGCAAAGCCCAGCTGCCCCTATTGCTGCTGTGCCGTGGGCAGCAAGGACCGCTCACTTTCCGTCTGGGTGAGCCCCCACCATGCGTCTTCGCTGCTGTCTGGGTGGGGTGGGGCTTCGGTGGGAAGATAGCATGCCTGGAAGAGAAGAGAACACACCACTTCTGGTCTTTCCCGGCTCTCCCATGTGTACTGCTCTTGTGGATGAGCTCACTGGCCATGTCCTATGGACTCCTGTCATCAGTATATCTTTAAAGTTCCATTTTAAAAAATGGTTTTGCCCTTCCTTACGCGCATAGTGGAGTTGCAGTTATGGGTGTGAAGGGCAACCTGTGGTTGCATTTATTATACGTACTGGTTACAGAGTTGTCTTCTGCACATATTGGTGCTTCAGGCCTGATGTTAGCCCCTCCCTGTCTGGAACCAGGAGCCTAGGGCCCTCCTGTCAGCTCAGGGCATGCTCCTTCTTTGGTTCCGGAACCCAGACCTCCATTCATTGCTGCCACTGAACAGACAAGGAAGTGTTTTCAGTTGTCTCAGATAACCTTGGCTGCTTCTCTCCTTCCAGCTTACATGTCTGAAGCGGCCTCTGGTTGTCATCCATGAGCTGTTTGACAAGTCCATCATGGATATTTCCTGGTGAGCTGGGTCTTTGTGCTGCACAGGCCACACCGTGGGAGAGGAGGGGGGTGTTTGCAGGCCCCGAGACCAGAGCCGCCCTTCCGGGACCTGTATGCTTCAGAGCTCCTCACTCCTTGTCACTAGAAAGTGTCTGAGCAGAGAGGGGTGACAGCACCTCACTGTTGGCTCTGCTGGTCCTGTAGTGACCACCCTGCAGGACCCAGTGGGACTGCCCGGGAGGCTCCAAGGCTGTCTCTCTGCACAGAAGCAGATGCCCAGTGGTCTCCTACGTCCACCCAGGGCCCAGGCCTGCACTGGCCAGCCTCTCCCTCACCCCCAGGCTACTGACACATGCTTCTTGTAGGACTCTTAATGGACTGGGCATTCTAGTGTGCTCCATGGATGGCTCGGTGGCCTTCCTCGACTTCTCCCAGGACGAACTTGGAGACCCCCTGAGCGAGGAGGAAAAGGTAGGGGAAGGGCCCTTCTTCAGCTGCTGGGCTAGCGCCACGCAGGAGCCCCAATGGCTCTGAGGGGGCCCCCTTTGTATGAACTCCCCAGCCACTGTGTGTGCTAAGGTGCTGCTGGGCCCTCACCCTTTATAGACGGTCATCCTGAGCTGCTGTACAAAACAGAGTTATTTAACAACGAGTTCCTGGGATTAAGACTTAAACGACTCTGAGCAGCTCCTCTTGTGTTAAAACTTGGCCACATGGAACTCCCCACCCCCACAAGGAGAGAGCCAGAGTGGCCCCCACACCCCTCACTTTCTGGCCTGACCTTCTGGCGATGGAGCAGCAGTTAAAAGAGGAATACTCCTCAGGTCTTAGCACATGCTCTGGGCCAGTTTCCATGCCAAGCACTTTGCATGGTCATCTCATTCTACTCATACTTAAGCCTACAAGACAGGGCTTGCCACCCGTTTCACCAGTGAGCTAGCTAGGCCTTGAACAATGTAGAGCCCCTTTGCCAAGACCAGATATGACCCTCAGCCCAGTCCCTCATCCATGCTTCATGTGAGACAGTGATCCACATGCCATTTTCCAACGCTTTCTGGGAAGACTCAGCCCAGCTTGCCCACTGTAGACTCCCTTCTTAAAGAGAGTCCTTTGCCAACTCTTGAGATCCCTGCTGGCGTAGTAGTTATGTGTTGGGCAGTTAGAAGGCACCAGTTGCTCCTCGAGAAAGATGGGACTGTGTACTCTGGTTACAATTAGTCTCAGAAACTCACAGGGGCACTTCTACCCCGTCCTAGAGGGCCATTACGGGTTATCATCAACTTGATGTCAGTGAGAGAAAGTTGCCAGCTCTTGGTGTATGCGCCTCACATCGCCCTGGGTGACGAGCTTGCTCGTCCTCTAAAGTCCCCAAGGAGCTCCTTCAGATGGGAACCCTCCCTGGGAGGACCGGCTGCCAGTGCGTGTCTCTGAGGGTTTGGTCTCCTTTCTAGCTTGTCACTGCAGGCTAGTCACAGCGTGAGCCCATCTCACATCCCCTCTCCCAGAAGACAGGCTGGGCCGCTGGGTAAGGAATACCGGCCCAATGCTGAGCACACTGAGTTCTGTTCAGAGGTGTAGGGGATGAATGAGGGAGGGTGGTGTCTGACCACAGCTGGGTGGCACACTAGGCCAGTCCTGTGGATCTGGCCTCAGACACCCTCTGGATCACCACCTGTGCCCCTGCCCCTCCTTCCCACCCCCCCACCCCCCCACCATTTCTAAGTAGATACAGTGCTCTCTGTGAGTCTGCCCCTCGCCCCTTTCTTTGAGTGTCCATGGCTGTGGCATGCTGGGGATGCTGTCCCTACCCTCCTGGCTTCCGCTTCTTGTGGCACAGGATGAGCAAGACCTGGGCAGGTGATAGAGAGGAGGTCCCTGCTAAGAAGGGTCAGTGTGGGGGGGTGCCACGGGTGGTTCTCCTACGATAAGGTGACCAGACGTCCCGCTTTTGACGGGACAGCCCTGATTTTTGGCGTTTTTTAAAAGTCCCAATTTTTGGAAAGAATGCATGACAAGCTAGGGAACGGTCTATTTGGTCCATATAGACCAAAATTTTAATCATGAACACACACACACCCGGTCAATGGTGTCCCACTTTAAATCTGGTCACCTTATCCTACGAGGACCTACTACCCCGTGGGACTGATGTCTAAAGACAAGAGCAGTGGAGGGGGACCCTTGGTTTCAATTCCGGTTTCCAAAGAGTGCCTTGGGGCCCTAGAGTTAGCAATTTGAGTCAGCTAATGCCTTTTCCCACATGCTGCCCATCAGGCAGCTCATTCACCTTCATCCCCACCTGTAGACACCTCACATGTGTAAACCTCTAGAACAGGGCTGTGGCCACTCACACCGCCCACTCTTCCTCCCTCCCCTCTAGAGCCGCATCCACCAGTCCACCTACGGGAAGAGCTTGGCCATCATGACCGAGGCACAGCTCTCTACAGCTGTCATCGAGAATCCTGAGATGCTCAAGTACCAGAGGAGGCAGCAGCAGCAGCAGCTGGGCCAGAAGGGGGCGTCTGCACGGGAGAGCAGCTCAGCTACCTCTGTTGCTGTAAATGGAGAGAGCCTAGAGGACATCAGGAAGGTGAGGGCTGGCTCCTCCCCACTCACCCACACCCTGGGCCCATGCTGAGGGCAGGGGGAGCTGCTTCTGCGGCCATTTGTCCTCATTGCTGTCAGCTGCACAGCTCTGTCCTGGGTCCCTGTGTCTAGAAAGGCCGAGAAGCTCTAGCACTGGGGCCAGCGAGCTTCAGGGCTTCCTCTCCAATAGCCCCAGCTTCACTAGGTCTTGAGTTCCCAAATTGATTGGATCGGCTGGCTCCTTTCCAGAAAGTGGCTGCACTGTGGCCTGCTTGTACTCTAGCCCATCATCCAGGATTAAGTGTCGGATTTTGTGTCCTCTCCCCACCCCCGGGATTGCTCCAACAAACCCCTCTAGGGGGTAGTTTCCCCACTTTGGGAAGCACAGGACTAGGGGTGGGGCCGAGAGTATGCTGGGACTTCCAGGGGAGTGAACACCATCTCCCCGTACTTGATCACCTCCTACCTGGTGTTTCAGCTGCAGAGCCCTTGTTATAGGCCCCCAGGGAGGGAGGGAAGGCCTGGCTCAGGAATGGGAATCTGGTGTCCCAGACAAGAGTAGCCCTCAAGGGTGCGGCTCTCATTCCTGCCGTTCCCTTTAGAGGACCCCGTGGGCTATTGGGCATGGGGACTAGTCCAGCAAGGACTCTCTGGCCTGGTAGCTGGGCCAGGCCAGAGGTACAGATGACAGGGAAGGAGTTGCCTGTGCTTTTCATTTGGGGTCTTCCTTCTGCTGAACACTACCCTGGTCCTAGTTTTAGAGGTGCTCATGCGCTGTTGGAGAAATCCCTGGGCATAAACACAGTTCGAAACTGCAGGGCTTTCTACTCCTGTAAAATGTAAGTCGCAGAAACCCACAGGGGCAGTTCTACCCCATATTTTGAGTTGGCCGTGAGTTTGGAGTTGGAGTTTGTGTGCTGACGGGTGGCCTTGTGTAATGGTACCTGAAAGACCTAGCAGGACATTTCCTTAGAATGCAAGTGGTGCCTGGGGCAGACCCCTCCCACTCACTTGTGTTGCTCTTCTTTGCCAGAATCTCTTGAAGAAACAAGTGGAGACGCGAACAGCCGACGGTCGGAGAAGGATCACACCCCTCTGCATAGCGCAGCTGGACACTGGGTACTTGTGCATTCACCTCGCTTTTGGTGGCTGTGTCGGGGTGGGCTTCCTGTCACCTGCCCCCTCGGGATCCTTGAGGGTCCAAGGTGCCCTTCTGACCCCATGGAAGATGCAAGTGAGACTCCACCATCCCCCAATCCCCTCACCCATCACAGACCTGTATATACCCACCCCAACCACCCCCAGTACTGGAGGGAGACGGGGAAGCTGAGGCCTGGCTGCCAGGCCAGAGAGGCATCTTCTCAGGTCAGTGTGCCCTGCTACCTGCTTGCTACCTACTTGCTCGCTTATGAAAGTAGCAGAAGGCCCCTAGTGTAGCAGGGAGCTCAGACTCCCCCCCTCCCTTTAGTAACTACTGGTTCTGAAGGTCATACTTATGCATTGTTGGGAAATGAGACAATTGTAAAAATGCAAAGCCGAACATCCTCATTCCCAGTACTTGGGTTATCATCCCTGTTACCAGGCTTAACTTCCCAACTTCTCTGAGCATGTATGTATACACGCATGAGTGTAAGGTTTGGACCTACCTGATGTATTGCTGTAACCTACTTTCTCTTCACCTCATTGATGTATCTGGACCTCTCCCCCGTTCTAATAAATAGTCTTCTGAAGCATTGCCTGGCTGCTGCTCACCAAGACTCCAAGAGTGCACCGTGCCCGGCTTACCAGCCCTGCAGGCACAGGCACAGGCACAGTGTGTGCTAAGTTTCATGTTGGGAAAGGACCTCAGACCACAGCGGGGACAGTTGCCACGGCAAAGCAGGAGGGGCTTGTGCTAGGAAAATGACGTGGTCTCACAGCTTGAAGTCAAGGTTTTGTGTTGTTCTCCCCGAAATGACGTGGATGGATTTAAAGTAAAGAAGACCTCATTTCAAAAAGCTAGATGTCCCCCGTCCAGACCATTAATGCCAGGCTATAGAATCCCACTGGGAGCTGCGCAGACGTCGAGAGCCTTGGTGAAGACCACTTTCAGTAGACCGACTGCACCAAGGGTGGGGGTTTACTCCACCTGTTTTTCTGACTCTTCTTCAAGTCCCATCAGACCTCTTCATGTTAGCTTGACATCAGACACTGAGGCTTTAGAGCAGAGAGCTGGGGGTGGGGTGTGGGTGGCTGTTTGTGTCTGTATCCGGAACCAGGTCTCCTGACTCCCAGAACTCCTGTCAGCCATTTTCCTTGGGTCAAGCCTCCCCCTTCCCCCTTGGGACCCCATAGGTATGGTGCCACTTGCCTACCCTTCCTTAGGACCAAATACGACTGGTCATGTAAATATGCTTTGAATACTGCTGGGCCTGTGGGAACAAGGGCCATGCAGGTGGAAGTGGTGGCTGCCCTTTTCTTCCAAGCCCCACATTGTTGAGGCAGACAGGGACTTCCTACTGGGCCCCAAGCCCACTTTCTGCCAATACACTGGATATATCTGCCATTCCAGCTGGATTCTTTTGTTTTGAAAGGCTTTTTTGGCTTCCAGTTGCCTTGTTAAAACAGACTAGATAAAATTGTTAGCTTAGCCAATTCAGAAAAATGCACAGATAGTCTAGTAGAAGTTAACGGGAAGAATCACTTGCAAACTGTGAAAACCTGTGCAGACAATGATGATCAGAGAAGAAATGAGGGCTCCATTGTCCAAGAGTTAACTCGCTCAATGAACTCTGCCATGAACATAATATTCATGTCAAAACCCTATAAAGATTGAAATAGTAAATTTTAGATCACTCTCACTTCTGAGCATCCATGTAAAATTCCCAAATAAGTAGTAACAAACAGCATGTTAGAGCACAGTAACAAACAGGTACACCATAGTCAAGTCAGGTTTACTTCACGAAAACAAGGAGGTCCGAATGGTGGGAAGTATTCATTTAATCCTACATGTTACTAGATTGGGAGAAATGAGTTATTTAATCATTTATGTAGATCTTGAAAGGTAGCTTGATGAAATTCAATAGCCTTCTTGATGGAGCACTCGAATAAATGATGGGAGTCAACGACTTCTTCACTTCAAAATGAAGAGCTAAAGAAATGTCTATTGTCCTAACTGATTTGACATCATGAAGCTTCTATGTCATTCAGTTAGTCAAGAGAGAGAATGAGGGTATAAAAAGTATAAAAAAAATTTTCTTTAACGTATGAATCTAGGAAAATTGGAAGTTGTCCAAAATGAAAAGGAAAACTTGATAGATATCCTAGGTTTTAATGAGCAGAAATGGACTGGGAAAATGGCCCTTTTGAATCGTGGTCTCCAATTGTGGGAATGACAAAGAGAAGAGGAGGAATGTCGCATTCACTGACAAAAGACATTTCAAGATCAATCCTTAGGCTTAATGCTGTCAGTGATAGCGTAATATCCACATGCCTACCAGGGAGAACAGTTAATTGACTGTTACTCAAATCTTAAAACTTCAGGGGGAGAGGGGAAATTTAAGATTTTCACAAACTTCCAGCAGTCCAGAAATAAAAAATATTGTATGGGGGTGGGGGTGGGGTACCATATACACTAGTGTTTAAGCCAAGTTTTTTCAACACATTTTGATGCCGTTTTTATGGTAAAATTAGGTGCCTCGGCTGATAATCAGGTCAGCTTATACTTGAGTATATATGTTATTGTATTAGGCAAATCTGAAAAGCAACGATGTCACTTTGAAGCCTAACAAAGTGCACTAATCCACGGTATTTTCACCACCTCATTTACTTTCCAAAACTGGACAGTGAATAAGAAATGCTGTATGGATTGCGATAACAGTTGTGTGAGCCCCTAATAAAATGTTCAAATAAATAAATAAATAAAAACTAAAATCCCCCTCCCCCACCCAACAAAAAAGAAATGCTAAGGAATAGCTGATACCGTTTAATTACGGTTTAGGGAAAGAATATTGAATATACCGTGGACTTCCAAAGGAATAAGAAAGTCTGATGATGAGGGCCATGAATGTACAAATGTGCTTTACACAATTTATGTATGTATGGATTGCGACAAGAGTTGTATGAGTGACAAAACAATTTCTAAACTATAGGGCTCATGAGGGAGGGGGGAGCGGGGAGGGAGGGGGAAAATGAGGACCTAATGTTGGGGGTTTAAGTGGAGAGAAAATGTTTTGAGAATGAAGTACAAATGCGCTTTACACAATTGATGTGTGTATGGATTGTGATAAGAGTTGTATGAGCCCCTAATAAAATGTTTTTTTAAAAAAAGAGTTGTATGAGCCCCTAATAAAACGATTATAAATAAATAAGAAGAAGAGAGAAGGACTTTTAAAATTGAAAATAAATAGAATAAGAAAGTCTGTCGTGGTAGAGGTACAGCTAGGAGGTTCCTTAGAATTGAGGATGGCGAGATTCCTTATGTTATCAGGAGGGACCATCCCTGAAGAAACACATCATGCTCGGTAAAGAAGAGCGGCTGGGAGAAAAGGAAGACCCGTAAGAAGGTGACTTTGTACAGTATCTCTGCTAGTGAGTTCAAGCATAGCAACAGTTATGAAGCTGTTACAGCAGAGGGCAGTATTTTGTTCTGTTGTACATTGGGTGACTGGGTCAGAAATTACTCTATAGCACTTAACAAGAGCAGAGCTTCTAGCCTAAACAGTTCATCAAAAGTATAGAAGAAAAAAGATAAAATATATTACTATTTGAAGACAATAGTTATCTGTAAGAGTTCATTGCTAAAACTGCTGAGAAAGTGGCTGGAACCAACCAACAAAATGAAATCAGATTCTAAAAGTTCATGTGGGAAAATAAGAATAGTCCAAATACATGGGAGAAGCACACCACCCTGTGTGATCCAAGGATTGTAAAAAATCCAAATCCAAAGGAGGGAATGATATCAGATCTTAAATTGTGAGTAGTAGTTTGCAGAAGGCCATTGGAAATTCAGAATCCATTTGTAGGGTTCTCACCTGGATTAAGTAGTTGAGGGATGTGAGCAGCCTTGCTATCATACAGAGAGCATTGTAAAGTCAATTATGGCGAATGTTAGGTTAAATTGTAACACCTTCTATCATTTGATCTCTCTTTTGACCCATTTAAAAGTTGTTTCAGTTTTTAATATATTTTGCTTTTTCTCTTTGAGGTTTTTCTGTGTATTGTCTAGTCATTGTTGGGGCTTTATTTGTATGATTTTGTATGGTTTTCTGTATATGAAATCCAGAAATCTATAGAGAGAGTAACTGCATAGGGTTTGGCAGGGGAAGATGGGGGGAAATGGGGAGCTAACCGCAATGAGTATGAGAAAAGAGTGTTCTGAAATTGATTGTGGTGATAATTGCACAAATCTTAATATGATTGAACAATTGTATGATGTGAAGCATATGCCAATAAAACTATTAAAAAAAAAAAAGAATAGCCCAAATATTTCTGGAAAAGATTTCTCAGGGAAGATTAATCTGATCAGTAATTAAGACATGTAAGTTATAGACATTAAATTAGTGAGTTGAGGGCAATGAATGTACAAATGTGCTTTACACAATTGATGTATGTATGGATTGTGATAAGAGTTGTATGAGCCCCTAATAAAATGATTAAAAAATAAAATAACTAGTGAGTTAGCAAAACATGATTAGACAGTAATGATTTAGAAAATATACCCCATATCTATGGGCTTCATCTCATGCTGGAAGTTGGATAATTCAGTAAATAAAGTCAAAACTGGGGACATAGCTGGATTGTATCTTCACAGCACCTGTTCCAGTGAGTTGTCGGACTCGTGGTGACACCCCAGATGTGGCAGAGGAGAATCGTGCCCAACACGATTTGAACGGCTGATCTTTTGGCCGTAGATGACTGGACCACCCCTCCAGGGAGGGCCTTCATACACACACACCCCCAGTCAGCACTTAACAACCACATCTATCAATTGCGCCCCCTGCATGACTGTGTATGGTTAAATTTATTCGTGGTGGTTCGGATTTTTTGATATTTAATGTTTTTGTTGCTTACATTTCTGGAAAGTTGTAGATGATTGCATGAAAGAATATGTTTTGAAACTTGGATTAAAAGTCTTTTCACCAAAATTTAGATTACTTTAAAAATAACGTATTTTGGCAAGAAAAAATACGCTCTGGAACAGGCAAACACAACTACTTCTTACTCATGAGGAATGGTCTTCTCTATAGGTAAAGCGGCCTCACAAATCAAGCATCCCTAAAGACCGATTCCCGATAGAAGAGTAGGCAAATGCAAAGGACAGGCAGTTCACCAAAAGAAAAAAGAAAAACACCACAATACGTGTTCATGAAAAAACTGTTCAAACTCAATGATAATAATAATCCCCAATTAAAACTATTATCTGATCTTATCTTTCCCCTATCAGAGAGTTGAAAAATATCAAGAGATTTAATGAAATGTGGTTGCAGGCACTTTTGTGCCTGACTTGCCAGGTGGTTAAATCTCTAAGGAGGGTATTTGAGAAATATTTCTCAAAAAACATCACTGCTATACCATTCCTTCTAGGAGTGTCTCCTCTCCCAGCTATGAAACGACAGAATGACCATTATAAAAACATGGGCATGTGTGAGTGGCTCCTCTGTGTTCTATCTGCCCTGTTCACATCTATCAGTGATTGTGCAGGTGACAGCCCGAGACAAGAAGTGATGAGGCACCTACTGCCGTAGAGCAGGCAGGTAAAGGAGGAATGGAAGCCGAGTTGTCTGGCCCGGAACCTGCAGTCGATGATTCCGAATGTATAAAGTGCTTGCAGTAGGTGGCCCAGAGGGTGGCCCCATTGTTTCTCGGAGAGCTTGGTTTAAGTAAATTATTGTACGTCTATATGATGGTAGGGTGATCCATTAATGGTGGCCCATGGCCTTTGCTGCTGCACCTCAGGATGACTCCTCAGACGTGTATGAATGATAATGGACTTCCTGGCATGCAACCACAACAAAGGCCTATGTGCATATTTTAACGCCTTGGAAGTCTGTGTGCATCTCACAGTCAGTGTTGTCATTAGGTGCCTTCCCGTAGGCTCTGCTTCCCAGCAACCCTGTGTAGAACCAGAGGAAGCACAGCCTGGTCCTGGCCCATCTTGACAGTTACTCCTGTGTTTGAACTCATTGTTGCAGCACTGGGTCAATCCTTCTCTTTGACCCTCTACATCACCAAGAATAATCAGTAGTATTTAGGTAAATCTGCTGCACAAGACCTTTTTAGAGTAAGGAAAAGCAAGGTGTTACTTTGAAGAATAAGGTGCACCTGACCCAAGCCCTGGTATTCTCCATTGCCTCATGTGCGTATACAAGTTTGACAGTGAGTAAGGAAGACCGAAGAAGCACTGATGCACTTGAATGGAGGTGCTGGAGTAGAACACTGGGAGTTCCACGGACTACTAAAAGGACAAGCCAATCTGTCTTGGAAGAAATACAGCCAGAGTGCTTCTTAGAGGCAAGGATGACCAGACTTCATCTTAAGTACTTTGTGCATGTTGTCAGGAGGGACCAGTCCCTGGAGAAAGACATCATGCTTGGTAAAGTGGAGGGGCAATGAAAAAGGAAAGTCCTCGACCCAGTGACTGCATTGATGGGCTCAAACATTCGAACAATTGTGAGCATGATGCAGAACCGGGCAGTACTTCATTCTGTTGTGCATATTGTCAGTATGGGTCGGAACCAACCCACTGGCACCTAACACAACAACAGTGTGTCATATAATCTTTGGGCTCTTTGAGCCAATTGATAGTTCTACTTGTCCAGGTTTTCTACCATAAATATACAGGTACATTTCTGTTTGTACTCCAGGAAAAGAGAAGAGGGTATTGAATACTTGAAGTAATTGCTATGCTTTCTTGTTTTGGAGGTTGACTTTCGTTCTTGCTTGGTGACAGGGACTTCTCCACGGCCTTCTTTAACAGCATCCCCCTCTCCGGGTCTCTGGCGGGCACCATGCTCTCCTCCCACAGCAGTCCACAGCTCCTGCCCCTGGAATCCAGCAGCCCCTGCTCCTTCGGCATCTCCAAGCCTTCCACGGAGCAGATGGTGGCAGTTGGGTCCAAGCCTGCGGGGGAAGCTGTCGGGAAAGACAGGTTAGTCCTGAAGAAAATACTGGCTTGGTTACAGTTCTGGGAACAGAGCCTTTTGTCCCGTTGCCTCTTTGTGGCCCCTTCAATGAGGAAGCCAATGTTTTTCATCAGAGACGGGTATGGTGGGGAGGGCACACCCGGCCAGACAAGTCTCTGATGCACGAGGCCACAAGGAGGGTGGGGAAGGGTGTCATAACTACCAACACTGTGGCTCTGATGGAAATATGTACCTCTTGGACTGAGCTGCTCAGATTGAAGAAGCTACTGGCTACAGTCGTCTCTGCCGGGCCTGCACTATAGGTGGCCTAGCATCACTGAGGCTGGGCCTTCCACTTGGCTCTGCTGGCGAGGCATACCCACCCCCATCCATGCCAGCCAGGCGCCCGTGTGCTAGGCTCTGCTGACTGTCACCTGGACACCGCACTGAAAGGAAGAAAACTGAGCATGAGTAAGAGCCTGGAGCTCTTCATTCCTCAGCAGATATTTGCTTGACAGCTGCTCTGGGTTACACACCATGCTAGGTCCCAGGTGACTGGTGGATTAGTGAATGCTTGTCTGCAGAGAGTATATAAGTTAGTGGGACCAGCGGCAGACACAGGATTGTAACATCACTCTGAGGATCCTCTGGGAAGCAAGGACTAGTCATGGCCAGGGGGCTAGTGGGCAGGTCTCATGCAGGCTTCTCATAAGGATATCCACCCAAGGACCTCACAAACCATCCAAGGGGAGGGAGTGCCGGCAGGAAGGTGGGCCAACAATAAAAGCAGGAGCGGCAGGAAGAGGGGAGAAAGGCTGGGCTGCTGGAAAGACCCAGGGACTCTGGCCTTTTCCCTGGGGACCATGGAGGGGCACAAGAACCTTTGGGACTTGGTGTTTTTAGTAAGCTTACCCCAGCAGGCAATGGTTACCCTAGACCTAACCAATCCTGGCAGAGGTGAGTCTCCATTGACGGGGATTGGGTTGTGTACTGTGTCAGCCTTCTCCTGACCATGGGTCAGGTGGCTCCGCTCTGAGGGGAGCATGGGCTGGAAGAGAAGAAGAAGGGGCTGGGAAACTAGTGTTCCAGGAGCAAGGATTGGAGGTGTGGCTGGAAGGTCAGATGGATGGACCCCAACAGTGTTTGAGGCATCTGTCCTTACACACCTTAGTGGTCACAGGCTGTGATAAAGGTGGGGAGGCCTTTCCAGGGTGACAGCCAGGCAGGTGGCTGGAAGTGAGGTACATGACCCTGAATGTAGGCAGCAGTATGACCAGCCTTTGGACTGTGAGAGTGGGGCCAGCTTGAGCACAGAGAAGGAGGAGTGGGCAAGCTCTTGCCAGTGTCTCCTACCTCTGGAGTGTGCACTGCAAGGAGATTGCTGGAAACTTGTCCCCATGAGGAGAGTCTGTCTAGGGGACAGGGGCTTGGCTAAGAAAGGAGACTAGGGAGAAAGAATGGCTTTGGGACTGCCAATTGTCTGGATGTACGAAAGGCTGGTGGTGGTCGTAGTTAATGGGAAATGTAGCTGGCTATGGGGTTGGCAGACTGGTGAGGGTTTGTAAGGATCTTTGCCAGGGCCTCATGCTGCCCACAAGCTCTCAGAACGATGCAGAAGGCAGGCATGAATGCGTGGCATGTGCAGTTAGACTCTTCCAGAAATTCACTCAGGAAGATGCTAAAGAATGAGACGGGAATAATCTCCTGGGTCTTTTCCGTGTTGGTGAAAGTGTGACTCCTCTGCCCCTTTGGCCCAGCCCCTTGATGCATCTGCTTGATGTGCTTTCTTATCAGTGTGACTGCTACCTCGACACCCACCGCCTCATCCCCCTCTGTGCTAACCACCCCCTCCAAGATTGAACCCATGAAAGCCTTTGACTCCCGGTTCACGGAGCGATCCAAAGCCACGTCGGGGACTCCTGTCTTGACCAGTGTGCCACCAACAGTCACGGAAAGGTAGGTGGTAGCTGCATGAGTCCCAGAGAGAGGGTGGGTGAGGTGTAGGTCTACTTCCCCACCCAGGAGCCTGCCCTTCCGTTGGGGGAGCCTTGCTTCTGCAGGGCCCTGGACCACAGCTTGGAGCGGGTGGCAGGACCCAGACAGGGGGTGCTGATGAAAATGTGATGGTGTGTGTACCTCAGAGCTCGCCTGAAAGTGTAGCAGGGGCTAGAGAGGTGGGAGGCGTGTTCCTGTTGCCTTTTGGTGCACCTTGTGATTTTTTTGACCGTAGCAGACATGATGTGGTCTTGGGCAATTGATAACTGGAGAGGCAGGCCTCTGACATGAGGGCTCATGCTCGTTGCACAGGGAGTTGGCTGTGCTTACTCTGCTGTCATTTTCAGTGACTCCAGCTCCCACTTCCTCCAGTGCCCTTGGCATGGTCCCTCCTGTGGTCTTTGAGCTTTCTTAGAGATACTTCGGGGGAGCCCTGTTGGGTTATATGGTGAGCTGCTAACCACAATGTCAGCAATTTGAAACCACCAGCTGCTCCATGGGAGAAAGATGGGCTTTCTATTTTGGGAAAGAGTTAGTCTTGGAAACCCACAGGGCCGTTCTACCCTGACCTCTAAGGTCGCTGTGAGTTTGAGGGGTTTTCTGAGAGGTCCTTTTGAAGTCACCTGTGCCGGGTCACCACTGTCACTGCCCTTGCACAGAGCCCAAGCAGCTTCGGAGTGGGGGTGGGAGGAACAGCATAGCGAGTACTATGTGAACTGAGGGTGAAACTCCAGGTTTTCTGATGGGCCAGTCCCTATGCTGTGGCCTTCAGAAGTGTTCCTCATCCTTTTTCACTCCCCTCCTGTGAGCAAGGAAGGCCAGTAGCCTGAAGTTAGTTAAGTGTCCTCCCCCAGGCTGCCTGAGGCTCTGTAAAGTGCCATCCAGGAGCAGAACTCGGGGTATTATTCAGAAATTGGTCTTTCCTCTCCCCTGCTGGGATTGGTTTATTGTTGTTGTTGATTTTTTATCTATGCTTAGGAGAACTTGGTAGGGCTCAAAAGTAATTAAAATGTGGGCACTCATCAATGGGATGCCCAGAAATTTTAACTCAAGTTAGTCTCCACTCTAAGACCAAAATCACTGCCAAGGAGGCATTTGCCACGCACCACGCACCTCGAACCATAGAACAACAGAATGGAACTGCTCCCTGGAGTCTCCAAGGCTATGTACCTTTACAGAAGCAGACGGCCTCATTTTCCTCCCTTGGCGTGGTTGGTGGCTTCGAACAGCCAGTTCCTCAGGGCTGACTGTGCCCATGTCCCAAATGGGACTTTAGCTCCAACTGAGGTGTGGTGTTTTGTGGTCTCCAGTTTGGGGTGTGGTAGTGGCTCATGTTGTGTGAGGACCCGTAAGCATATACGTTACTTATTGACAAAGCCCTCCTTTGTTTGCTGAACAGTGTCAGGGTGACCCTTGTTCCGACTCCGGGGTGCACCATGTGCATAGGACAACTGCTCCATGGATTTCTCAGCTCCCTAGGCCAACCTTCTGAGATTCCCGAGATGAGGCTAGAACAGCACGTAGCTGTTCATCCTGCCCATAGACTGGTGTTTGGGGATGAGCCTTGATTTTTGAAAAATCACGCTGACATCAGTGGCCCTGAGAAGAGGCCAGTGAGCATGTGTGTCTGTGCAGGTTGAAAGAGCAAAACCTGGTGAAGGAGAGCAGGTCCCGAGACCTCCAGGAGAGCAGCAGTGACAGCGACGAGAAGGTCCCTGTGACCAAGCCCTCTTCCCTCTCCAAGCGGAGACTGGAGCTGGAAGCTGAGACAGTGGAGAAGAAGAAGAAAGGGCGGCCTCGGAAGGACTCCCGTCTCATGCCCATGTCTCTGTCCGTCCAGGTGAGGCCGCAGCCCCAGGCCCACAGCCATGGCCCAGCCTTCTCCCACATGGCCCCCAGGCTCAGGAGGAGGAGGGTCTGCAGGTGGGCCTCACAGGAGGTGGGAAGCAGCCAGCTTAGATATTCTTTCCCACCCTTCACCCCAGGAGGCTCATCCAGAGGCCTTGTGCCTGTTAGCCCCCTCCCCTATAAAGCGGGCCTCATTTTAGCTTTCAGTCACATGTCTCCTTGAGGGTTGGGGGAACTCAGAGCACGTCTGGCTCTTCCAGTCTCCAGCCTCCCTGACAGCCGAGAAGGATGCCTCTTGTCTGTCTGCACCAGCACTTGCACTGAAACTGCCCATCCCTGGCGCACAAAGAGCATTCACCCTGCAGGTGAGTGTGGGTCCCCCTGGCTCCCAGGTGCTTCTGAGCACAGGCACACATTCTCTCTCTCTCTCTGTCCCTCCCCCCCTCCTCCCTCAGGCAGACCCTGGCTGTGGTACACACACTTCCTCCAGAACGGGGGTCATTAGCACTCATGCTGTGGTCAGGCCCAGCCTAGGGTGACCAAGAGCAGGCGGCGGCCCCTCCCAGCCATGCATCCTTCTGGGCCCCGGTGCAACACTGTGGAAGGGATGGGGTAGAGGGGTACAGAAGCAGGGGCGCCCCAGTGGTCAGCAGTGTGCATGCATGTTTCTAGGCGTACACTGCCCCTGCATTCTGCCAGACGCTTTCAGTGATAGGAAGTTTCCAGAGCAACCTTGGAGGGCCCACAGACACTGGTGGCAGTACCCACTCACCAACTGGGTCTCCTGGGGGTTCGGGTGCTCTTTTTGAGTATTTTCAGAGAAAGCTCATTTCCCATTCAGCCATCCATCCATACACGTTGTTTCATGACCTGAGTCTCTTGTAGTAGCACACTTCCTGGTTCGTTCCCCCAGCTCCCCGTTTCTCCCAATTCCTCCCCTAGATCCCCATTTCTTTCTCCCCTCTCTTCCTTCTGAACTTTGCTTCTGGGCCTACTTGGTGGTCTGGGGAGTCCGCTTTGCTTGGGTTCCTGCTCACATGATCAGCCTGCTTGTTTGGCTGAAAGGTCATCTCTGGGAAGGGATTCACATGCAGGTTTGAGGTGTGTCTAAGGGCCAGAGTCTGGGGGCTTCTTCAGTCTCTATCAGACCAGAGAGTCTGGCCTATTTTTATGCCTTTGAGTTTTGCTCTGTGTTTCTCCCATTGAGCCAGGTGCCTTTGCTTGGAATCCTGACCAGGGCAGTCAGTAGTGATGGCCAGGTACCAGGATCCAGGGTGGGGAGTAGGTGCCCCGAGTCCCCATTGGAACCTAATTGCACTCAGAAGGGGAGATCTGGGACTCAGGACTCAGCTGCCTCTGTCCCCCGGTGGCCATGCTGGGTCAGCTGAGATCTTTCTGTGTTCAGTTGAGGCCTTTGTCTTGTCATCGGTGCTCAGGGCTGCAGGGCCACCTGCTGTGTCTGTTTCACTTCATGTCTCAGGTCTGTGCTGTGGAGAGAGGCCTGATACTTCCAACAAAGCCTCCATTTTGGCCTGAAATCCTAAGTGTGTCATCTCAGGACAGCTACTCGCTCTCTGAGCATCTGTGTCCTCACCTGTTAAAGAAGTGCTTGGGCTCAGAGACCTCTGGGTTCTCATAGGACAGGTGCTGGGTCTCTGTGGCTATTTGGCCTCAAGGAGGAAGAGGCACCAGTGTCCCACCAACCCCTTCCCATCACCCTGCTCTGCTGGCCTGCCACTCACTTGACTGCTCACTTGCTCGCTTGGTTACCTGCCTCTGGCTTCCTGCCTCAGGACCTGGCCCCATGGCACCATCTGGGTGGACTCATCATCACTGCCTTCCACTCCCCCCACCCCCAGGTGAGCTCCGACCCCTCCATGTACATTGAGGTGGAGAATGAAGCGACTGCCGTGGGTGGCGTGAAGCTGAGCCGCTTGAAGTGCAACCGGGAAGGGAAGGCATGGGAGACAGTGCTCACCAGCCGGATACTCACCGCTGCCGGCAGCTGGTAAGGACCAAGGGCCTGGACTACCACTGTCACTGCCACTGCCACTGGCCTGGGCCCAGCCCTTGCATTTCAGCTTGATGTCCAACCCAGAGGCATTCTCCTCCTTGGCTGACAACCAGAATTTGAAGCCAAGATGCCTGAAGCTCACGTCTGCACCGGAGTCCTAAAGTCTCAGCCCCCAGGCTGAGCTCTGATCCTAGATAGTAGTGCAGGGAGCTTGGGGAAGGTAGAGCGGGTTCCAATTTCTCCACAAACCTTCAGCCCCACTCTGGCAGAACTTAGACTTTGCTCAGAGGTCAGTAGCCTCATGTGTTCCTGGGGCCCCGAGAGCAGCTCATGGCTCTGCCCTTCGGAGGCGCGGCGCCCTAGTCCAAGAGCCCGAGTTAGGTTCTCTGATGAATGACAGAAGTGGTCGGCTCAGGTGCGCTCACTCATTAGAGGAGTCCTTGATCAGCTGTCTTGGGTTTACAGGTAAGGTGCCTGTCAGCTCTGGTCTTCGTCCAAGGTCAGGGTTCCAGTGGGCCCTCGACCAGCCTGTGTGTCAACCTGGGACGCTCCCACTCCCCTTCCATACAGCTAGCATCTTTGTACAAGTCCAGGAGGCCTGGACCTGGGCTGATGCCCTGGGCCCCCTCTCTGTCCCTCATCCCAGGGCAAGTTGGAGTGGAGGAGGGTCAGCACAGCCCCCTATGTGGCAGCCTGGCAACCTGCAGCCCTCCCCTTCGGTGATCTCCCCCACGCACAGCCCTGCTCCTTGACGCTGTGGCCCTCAGATGCTTCCTTTGCCTCGGGCTGGCTCAGGGAGGGCTCTGAGCAGACAGAGACATCTCTGCAGCCAGGTCTTGCTCTAAGTTCTCTCCCTCCTTCACTCGAGAGGTGCTGTAAGCCAGAGCCCTCCCACCCCCCACCTTTGCTGAAGCCTGACCACCACCCAGAGAGGCAGGCTGGCTGGGGTGGAGGAAGTGGCAGCTGCTCCCCTGTTCTGGCTGCTGCCTGAAGTTGGTCTGCACTCTAGCTGTGCTCCAGGGGCCACTGGTTGCTCAGAGAGAGACGTTGGACAAACTCTCCCTGAAGCACTCCTTCCTACCCATGGGGACGTGCCCTGGCCTTCTGGCTCGTCCCTAGCTAGCCTCAGCAGGTGCCCAGCATGGGCGTGCTCTGGGCATCCCCTTCCAGCCACTGTTGGGTGCCCTGGGTGCCTTCAGAGACACACAAGCCTGAAGTTAGTGCTCCCGTGAGCCCAGCAAGCTTGTTCAGCTCCCATGGGCAGGAGAAGACTGGGGTCCCTTTCTGCTTAGACATGTCCCTTGGGCACCTGTCAGTATTCTGTCCACAGGGCAGGCCACAACTGCTAGGGGACGTTGGTATTGAGTCTGGCTGGTCAATAAAGGTTCTGGTGTGTCCCCTCGAGTGGTCCATCGGCACTGCCTGTCCTCTACCTTCCTAGTGACGTGGTGTGTGTTGCCTGTGAGAAGAGGACGCTGTCTGTGTTCTCCACCTGCGGCCGCCGGCTCCTCCCTCCCATCCTCCTGTCATCCCCCATCTCCACTTTGCACTGCACGGGCACCTACGTCATGGCGCTCACGGCCGCAGCCACACTGTCTGTCTGGTGAGAGGGTCAGGATGGGTGGAGGGATGCAAGAAGAGACCCTAATAGCCCAGGGACACATTGTGGGACCCTGTGCTGGGGGAGAGGGAAGGGGGGCACCAGAAGAACGGAGAGGGGCTCCTGCTGCTGAGGAGACCAGGGATACTTAAGCGACAGGGCCCAGCATCTTAACGGAAGAGGCCCGGTCAGATGGGCTGCTCAGCAGCAGGCTGTCCCCTAGGAGTTCAGGTATGGCCGAAGTAGCAGAGGCAGTGGACCTTAGGGCTCTGGCGCCTGGGCCTTCCGCTGTGTGGGCATCTACCAGACCCAGATCTACAGCTATCAAGTGGATTCAACCACTAGTGACCCTGTAGGACAGGGAAAAAGTGCCCTGTAAGGTTTCCCAGATGAAATTGTCACAGATAAATCTGCCCTGCTTTCTCCTGAGGAATGGGTTTGAACTTCGACCTTACTGTTAACCGCCCAGTGCTCAACCCACTGCTCCACCAGGGCTCCTCCAGAAAGAGGAGCTTGGTGTCAGAAGCTACCCAGCCACATGAGGGAAGCAGGGATGGCAGCAGGGGTGGTAGCACTGGCTGAGGTTGGAGAATGAGGCCTGTCGCCCTCAGGGACATCCACAGACAGGTGGTGGTGGTCAAAGAAGAGTCTCTACACTCCATCTTGGCAGGTAACCGCTGGGGCCGGGACCCAGGGTGGGGGACAAATGTGGGTGGACTTGTGGGAGGGTGGCTCCCACAGAGTAGCACCTCAAAGCCTCAAGTCTGTGTGGAGGAGCCTGGAGCCCACTGTTGTGCTGTGCTGTCCCTCAGGAAGTGATATGACAGTGTCACAGATCCTGCTGACCCAGCATGGGATTCCAGTGATGAACCTGTCCGATGGAAAGGCCTACTGCTTTAACCCGTCCCTTTCTACATGGTAAGCCACTTGCTCCCACCCTGCCCTCGGCTCCAGTCCCTGGGACTCAGGTCCTGATGGTTTGGCCAACCTGACCCTACATCCATATGCCCAGAGTGTCAGGCCCCTGGCTGGGCTCTGTCTGGGCGAGACGTTGGAGCTCAGCCTGCCAGGACAGAACCCCGCAAGGCTGCCAGCATGGGGCTCTGTACGCTCAGAGCAAGTGCACTGCAGGCACCTGCCTCCCTTCAACTCCTCTTTGGGTGACTTGTTATACCAGGCCCAATTCTATAGCCACAGATGACTTTCCTGAGGTTAAAAAAATTTTTCAGCAACTACTTTGAGCATACTTTTCCAAAACTGCAGAAAAAGTTATTACCGTATTTTCACAAATAGCAAGCATGCGTACAAAACTCAGCATAGCACATACAGGGAACTCTTGGGCGAGGGGCTACTTTGCCTGGTTTTGTTTGTGCAGAAAACCAATAGCCTTCAAGTCAGTTCTAAAGCAGTGACCCTCCCTAGAGGACAGCCTAGAAGCCTAGGATTTCCGAGACTAGATCTTTCCTGGTATGTGACTACTGTGCCACCAGGACTCGCTCCCTTGTGTGATACAGGAAAGTTGACTGACCAGGTCAAATTTCATAGACACTTTGCATTTGAAGAGTATTTGCTAGGACAACAGACTTGCATAAAGACCCCTTCCTGTATAGACATGAAGGCCCAGAAGAGGCATAGGAACAGACTGCCAGGGGTGGTGTGGCCCCATCTCGGGGGCCGCTTTGCGCACTCCAAGGAGTTGAGACTCAACAGCCCTCCTAGTGAGCCAGTATCTTGCCAGGCCCGGCACAGCGAACCTGCCCCCTTACCATGCAGCAGCACTCAAGCTGATGCTGCCCAGCGCTGGTGCTTGGGCCAGCGGAGGGCACTTGCTGGCCTGTGGCTTCTTCATAGCTTTCCTTAGCAGCGCCTATCTCTGTCCTGCTAGGAACCTGATTTCTGACAAGCAGGACTCGCTGGCACAGTGTGCAGACTTCAGGAGCAGCCTGCCGTCCCAGGATGCCATGCTGTGCTCAGGACCCTTAGCCATCATCCAGGGCCGCACCTCCAAGTACGTGACCTGAGGGCTGTGCTTGACCCGCTCTCACTGTCCATCCCTGAGGGTTGTGCTTGACCCGCTCTCACTGTCCATCCCTGGGGCCACAGTGGCTAGGCAGGGAGACAGGGCTGTGGGCCCACATTGGCTAATGCTGCAGAGGTGCAAGCAGGTCCTTTCACAGAGTCCCAGGTCACCCCAGGGTGCTATTGGTCACAGACCCCCATGTTGGCTAGTTGTTTGGGTGGGGCCATCTCTGGAGCCTCGATGGCAGGTTTAGGTCCAAAGGACCCATGGTCATTAGTGTCTTGAGGAGCTATGTTACAGCTACTCGGGACAATCGTGTGAGGGGTCCCTGGAAGGCTAGGCACTGTGCCTGGTGGGAGGCCTTGTCAGCCCTGGAACCACGTCCTCGCCAACTCCTCACTAGCCTCCTGGGATGCATAGTGGCAGCCTCCTGCCCCTGTGCAGTGCCTGCCACCCCTCACATGTACTCTGTGACCTCCACAGTTCTGGACGACAGGCTGCCCGGCTCTTCTCCATGCCTCATGTGGTGCAGCAGGAGACCACCTTGGCCTACCTAGAGAACCAGGTGGCTGCTGCACTTAGCCTGCAGTCCAGCCATGAGTACCGCCACTGGCTCCTCATCTATGCACGCTACCTCGTGAACGAAGGTGAGTTCCCTGCTCAGCCTGAACTCAGCCCAAGGCAATGCAGCCCTGGCCTGGCCCAGCCCAGGCTTCAAAGGCTGAGTCTAGCAGGGCTTACACGTTTGCCTTCCTTGGGAGACCACATGCTTTGTCCCTGCCCTCTATCACAGCCAGCCCCGTGGGCCTGCCTTGCCCTTCCTCCCCAGCCAGGCTTACCTCAGCTCCTGGGCTGCCTGTCCTCATCTGGTCAGCAGGAGAAGAGATGGACAGACACCCTTACCATGGTCCACCGGCCTGCTTGCCCTTTACTAGTCACCTGTGTCCTCCCAGCCCTGCTCCCAACCTGGCTTTGCCTCCAGGTGCCAAGGCAAGGGTCCAGCCCTCACCTTCACCTTGTGTCACAGCCCAGGCCAGGCTACAGAGCAACTTTTCTTCTGAGGGGTTCTCTTGCTTTTTAACTGCCCCCACCCCAGCTCCCCCTTTATGTTTAAGTCTGAAGATCCCCAATCAGCGTCACTGCTAGCATCGGCATGCCCTGGCGGCCTCAGTGCATAGATGTGAGAGTGTGCGCACAGCAGCCCAAGTCACAGACTCGAGCCTCACAGTCCCGCCTAGGCCCAGCAGGAAGTCCCCATCTTTCTAAGTCTTTACCCCACCTGTCCAGCCTGGGCTTCCCCGTCACACCTTGGGCCTTGTCCCCCCACTCTCCCGAACACAGCCCCTTCTCTCATTCCTCTACGGTGGTGTTGATCAGGACTTGGCAGGCTGACCCACACGGAGCTCTCACTGCACGGTGCCCCACCTCACCTCCACTCCAGTCCATCTCCCATACACCAGTCACTTCCTCGGAGGGCTCATTTGCTCCACTGTAAAAGCCAAGCATGAAGAAAGCCCTCGTTCCTGCCCTGAACTCCTAGTAGGGGTCCAGCTTCCTCCGTCTTACTCCCACCCTTATCTTTGGGTGATCACGTTCATTCCCAGTGGCTTCAGCTCTCCACACGTGGGCAGCCCCATTGAACCAGGTCTGCCTGGGAGCCTCTGCCCAGAATCTCCTGCCCTTCCCATCTCATCCCTCCTGAAGGCTGACAGTCTGCCCTGGCTGAGCCTCTGACAGATCAAACCAGCCCAGCCCACTCCCTGCCTCTCACCCTCCCTGGCTTTCCCATTGCCTCCTGGGGGTGATCACAGACCTGGTGGCCTTGTGCCTTGTCCCATGTACACAGGATGGGTCAGGTCAGCAAGAGCCGAACCAGAAGAGTGGGTGGCAAGTGAGTGAGGATCTGTAATGAGGGGCCTCATTGCCCCCAACCGAGGGGCACTCAAGGAGGCACTGAGATGAATGTGTGTGTCTCCTGTGTGGATATGCACCACTGACTTCATGAATGGGGTATTCTGTAACTGTGTGTAACATGTTCCCATTTCCTGTGTTTTTCTGTGATTAGGGTTTGAATACCGACTCCGAGAAATATGCAAGGACTTACTGGGTCCGGTTCACTATTCCACCGGGAGCCAGTGGGAGTCAACAGTAGTGGTAGGTGCTGGGTTCCATCCTACCTTGAGAATTTACAATTGCACAGTGAAGGTGGCAGCTTATCAAAGGAACCAGACCACTCCAGCACACTGCCTGGGACCTCAGACCCGATAGGACCGAGCTGGGCCCTGGCATCAGGTGCCTGGGAGCTGAGAGGCCACGGATTGAGTAGTGACAAGGAAAGCCCCTTCTCCCCCCACCTTCCTGACAGAGAGGCAAACATTAGCAAATATACACACCCGGTCAGCCAGGGACTTACAGACCATGACTGGTGCTGAGGTGACAGAGACTAGGAAGGAGTGAATGGGGAAGTGCTGAGAATCAGGAGGAGCTAGCCCCGCAGTGGGGGTGGGTGCCTGGCCGAGGGAACAGTATGTGCCAAGATTTGGCCACTTTGAGGTCTGCTGGGCTGCAGCACAGCCAAGGTGTGAGGAGATGAGCAGGGTGGGTGGGTAGGTAGGTTGTGGTGTCCTGAAGAGGAGTGGGTGCCACTGTGAAACCAGGCAGGGCGAGCTCTGTGACCTCCCAGCAGTCAAAGGTGGCTAGGATGTATGAACCAGCTCTAGAGAGGAGGTAGAACCAGGAGACTTGGGGTGCACTGGATGTGGGAGGGAAAGAGTGCAGGAGCTGGAGGAGGGGCCTGGGATGAGGTAGATCCCAGAGTCCCCTCTGTTTCACTCGTTCAGCACGTATTGACCAAGGCCCTTGAAGAGCAAGGTCATGAGCCCCTGCCTTCAGGGCCTCCTGACTAAAGCTGCTGGGATGTGTGGGGTGAGTGGGGGTTGGATGAGCAAGACAGGGTGGGGCCCTGTGGACCCCGTCAGTAGCTCCCTGAATGAACAGGCAGAGAGACTGGTAAAGGGCAGAGAGGAGCTGGGCAAGTATTTGGAGCAAAGACACTATCTTCCCAATTTGTTTTCCACCAACTTTTTGAGCCCCCTTTGTTGTATCCTCTGTTATTTACTTTTTCCTATTTTTTTAAGCTTATTGCTGTTATCCTGGGAACTTGAAAAAGTTCATGGAATATTTCCATTGTCTTTGAATTCAATACTTATGCAAAATGTATAAGCTGCCTCACACCTTTTGGTTGGGTAATGCAATCCTAAGTTCAAAACCACTTTACCCTGGGTGAAGGTTTATCCACAGTCTGTTAACATCTAAAATGTTGGGTGTAGACCTGATTTTCACATCTTTCTCAGTACTTTCGCGATCCTCTTTCTGGATTTTGAAGTTTCATTGACTCTCTGGAACCAGAGAACTGGAATTTTTTTTTCTTCACTTCTCTAATTAGTCTATCTTCTCTCTCCTTTCCTCACCATCTAAGAGAGGTAATATACAGCATAAAAGTCGCTGTGTCTTTTTTGTTTTATGTGGTATTTTCTTCGGATATCAAAATTTCCAACCTGATCTTTTATCTGCTGACATATAGTAAGTAACCGCCATTACCATATGTTGCATTGTTGTGGTAATTGGAGCCCTTGGGTTCTGTTTCTGATGCCTGTTGTTTTGCTGATTCTCGTTCATCTTCTTTATCCCCTAAGGTGTCCTTTTACCTTTGGCTGCCTGCTGAGTGTAGTATGTGAAGAGACCTAGTAGAGCAATGCTGCCATCCTCCACAGAGCACTTCAATTTGCTGATGACAGCTTTTGTTTATTTTACCTTTTTATTGTGAATGGGGTTAAGGGTCACAACTAATCAGTTTCCCATCTAACAACTCAGACACATTTTGTTTTATGTCATCAATTTAATTACATTGACTGTGTGACGTGGGCCTTCCCCCCCATTACCAGTGTTTCCTGTCTCCATGCCTTCTCCTTTCCTAACCCTTCTGAACTTAGTCCTGGGGGTGATGCTACCCCCATTTATGAATGATTATTCTAAGATTTGTGTATTCACTAGTGTTATTGTTCTCCTTCTAGACCTGCCTATTGTCTGACTAAAAAAATCAATCCATAGGGGGCTGAGTTCAACTCCAGACCTGAATGGTGGCCGAGTGCCATCGTACATGGGGTTCCACCCTGTTTCTGTCTGAATGGTAAAGTTCATCTTTATGATTTTGAGTTTGGCCCACAATTTTCACCCACTCTAACCTTTTCATGTGACCCTTTTCAGAGCAGTTGGTAATGGGGGCCTAGCATCATGTAGCCTTTCTGGTCTCAGCGTCGTAGAGACTGACGCGCATGCGGTCCATTGGACTAACTGTTTTCATGTGTCTGGTTTTCGTCACTCATGTTCTCTGGACAAGGAGAGACCACTAGTTGCACATGAAATGACCACTCACTCTGCACACAGCTCTGCACCATAGAGGTGCCCTCTCTCTCAGCTTGAGAGGATGCACTGTGTGCAGGGTCTTCTCAGCTTGAGTACAGGAACACGTGTTAATATGGTCAATTATATGTTTACTAATATTAAGCTCTTTCCTGTAATCACACCAACTTGGTCATAATTATTACCTTTCATATTCATTGTTAGAATCAAATGCTAATAATTTATAAGAATTTGTACAGCTCATTTCATGGGCAACACAGGCCTGGGATTTCCCGTGCCCATGCAGTCCTTTAGAATCGTGGTTGCATTTGCTTTGTAGGATGAGGAGATGGACATTGTTCCTCATTTGTTTCTGTTTTCTGGGTTTGTGTGAGATTGAAAAGGTCTTTTTTCCAGTTTTATTCACAAGTAATTTACATATCATATAATTCAAGAATTTAGTCACTCAATCATATCACAGAGCATTGTACAATCACTTCCACAACAATTTTAGAGAATTTCCCTTCCCTATGGTCAAATCACCTTTAAGATGATTCATGTAATCACAATCCGTTCTAATGCTTCCTCCCACCTCCCGTGTCCATTAGTTACTTCCAAACCTCCCCCTTTCCTTCCCTTTCTTCCTCCCCACCACCCCTGCATTCCCTATGTCCCCTTGTATCCATTATTCTCATTATGTGTTCACCCCTCTGATGCTTCACAGCTGGGAGACCCAACAGAAAACACAATCGCACGAAGGTGGTAAGGGTTAAAACAATTGTATGCGGATAAAAGTACTAATAATGCATAAGAAGGCAAAGCCCTCCCCATCCCCCAACAATAATCAGAAAGCTAGTGAAGAAATTCCTGTCATGGAACCAGTAAGAGATTCTTGCACCCAGACCAAATTTAGGTCGCTCTATAGAGTGGCCAACTGGCCAAGTATTGAGTTCAATGCGGTATAATCAAGATTGCAGTGGTCTCTGATAGTAAGGTTGATTGTGACTCTTGGCTACGCTAGAGTGCATCTGCCAGTGGCTCAGTCTGACCAGATACGCTGCAGAGGGGTTTGGGGCTGCCACCGTCCCCCACAGCCTCCACAGATGGGGAGTTCATCATGTTAGCTCTGATGCTTTTCTCCTCACCATAGTCCAGTTTTGTCATTGTCATCTCTGGATCACACAGCTGGTGTGCTTCTTCCATGTGGACTTAGTTGACTCCTCACTTAGATGGCCGATCGTTTGAATACAAACCTTTAAGACCCCAGACACTATTCCCATTGAGTGCCAGGCACCGCCTGGTTTCTTCACCACACTTTGCTGTAGCACCCTTATCTTCGGTCATCACTTCTTCATAAAGATGAGTATGTAGCTGGGCCATGATGTAAGAACTAAGTGTTCTTAAGTTGGAGCTACCATTCATTGCAAGCTCAAAGCCCATTCCTGGATCTATGCCTTTGTTTGCTTGTTTTTGTTGTAACTTGGGAGCCGGTACATATGTCATATCATTCCATACTTCAATCATGTCAAATATAATTGTGCAGTTTCTGCTGTAATCATACAAGTTTTCTAAAACTTACTTTTCCTTCCTGAACGACTTTTTAAAAATTTTTTATTAAAAGATCATTTTATTGGGGGTTCTTACAGCTCTTATAACAATCCATACATCAATATTTGTACATATGTTGCCATCATTATTTTCTAAACATTTACTTTCTATTTGATCCCTTGGTATCAGCTTCTTTTTGTTTCCCTCCTCCCCCCACCCCGCCTCATTACCCCTTGATAAATTATTATTATTATTTTCTTATCTTACACCGACCGCTATCTCCCTTCCCCCACAGTTTCTGTTGTTCATCCAGGGCGGGGCCAGGTGGATGGGGCGGCGCGGGGGCATGGTTATGTGTCGATCACTTCCTGGACTTCTTGACATCATCTCCTGCTTCTCTCCTCACACCCGTCTTTATCCCTCTTCCGCCAAATCACCATTACAGTTTCTTTCCCTGTAGGCTCAACGTCCCTGGGTTTCATTTACCGAACAATAAGGCAGTAAATAACACAGTTTTAAGAGGGTGAGCCCCAATGGTGATGCACCTCTGAGATACACGCTAATGTAAGTGAACATAAGCAAAATAACAGACTGGTCGTCACAGGGTTGCCGGGATAATATGTGCCTTAATAAAGCATACCAGGCATTGATATACCGAGACCTTGTTTGTTTGCCAGTCAACAGTGCAGTACACCGCTCTGAGTACAGCCGTCTTCTACCTCAGACACCGTGTTTCCAGCTTACGTCCTCAGGTTGTAAGTGCCTGGCAAAGGTCTGTTCTTTGGAAGTTTCTTAGAAGTCAGTTTATAAAAGACTATAAACCCTGTTGGCCATGATGCTTTCTTTGAGCTGGGATTTAAGTTCCTGCTTTCTGTTGCTTTTAGACTCAATTTTGATGAACTGCATCCCTAGGAATTTGTCCATTTTCTCTAAATCCCCGAATCTGTTGGCATAACGTTGTTGCAAGTGCTCCCAACTACCCTCCCTGCTGCCGTCTGGAGTTCTCTCTTGGGTTCTTTCTGGTCATGACTTCTTGGAGCTTTCACTCTTCTTGACTCAAGACAAATCTTTGCCAAAGATTTCTGTGCCTTTTCTTCTCAAAGAATGCCTTTTGTTTTTATCCTTCTCTACTGAGCCTTTGTCTTCTAGTTCTTGAGTTTTATCTCTTTTGCTATCATCTTCCTTTGGTTAGTTGGTTGTTTTTCCTGGATTTTCCCCTCTTTTTTGTCTTGGGTCACTGATTGTCAGTTTTTCAGTTTCTCTAATGAAAGCTGTTTCACGACTGTCTCTACAAGCCCTGCTTTTGCAGCATCCCACTCACTTTAATGCTGTTTTCATTCTTCTGTTCTTCACTTATAGATCATTGTTGATTTCAGATCCTTAGAAATGATACCCCTTTGACTATTGCAGCACAGCTGGTGGTATGTCAGGTGACTAACCCAAGGTCTGCAGGAGAAAGCTGATACCATCTGTTTTCATTAAGCTTTACAGCCTCGGAAACCCTATGGAGCAGTGCTGCTCTGCCCTGGGAGATTGCTATGAGTGAGAGTTGGCCTCACGGCAGTGGGTTTGTGCTTTGAGGTTGGTTGACTCCAGGGTTTTACTCAGTTGGGTTTTAGTCAGCGGTGGCGGGTTTGTTTCTGTGAAGAACCACCTCTTGCAGGTCACTCATCTTCTGTTACAAGGAGCCTTAGCGGCGTAGGGATTACACATTGGCAGTTTGAAACCACCCGCTGCTCCGCAGCCTCGGGACATAGGGTCAGTTCCACCCTGCCCCTATAAGGTCGCCCTGAGTCAGCATTAACTCGATGACAGTGAGTTGGGGTTTTGAGTTTACCTTCTGTCCCTGTGTGTTCTCTCTTGGTGGGGACCTCATTCTGGGGATCAGCCCATCAGGGTGTGAACTGGCCCAGATTCTTCCGCTTCCTGGCCCATTAGGCTGTGCATCTTGGGGAGGGAGGGTTGTCCCTCCCTCCGACACCTTGTTCCTTAACGTTGCTCTTTGTCTAACAGCTTCCTGTAGGATCATTGTAAAACAATGCTAGCTTTCTTTCTTTCTATATTTCTGTCTTTTTCTGAGCTTTTCTGGTAAGCCTCTCATGCTCATGGTGCTGTACTTCTTCCTAATGTCATGTGACTTTATGTGTCAGCCCACCTGACCAGATGGGAATTTTCACCACTAAACATCTAAATTTTCTGTTTGCTTGCTTTTTTATGTTTTTTAAGTCCACCATAAACTTGAGCGAGAGAGTTGGTTATGTGACTTATTATAACTCCTTTCATATCTCCTGGAATTGTCCTTCTCTTACTTTGAACATAAGGAGCCCTGGTGGTACAACAGCTAAGTGCTTGGCTGCCACCCTAAAGGTCAGTAGTTTGAACCCATGGGCAGCTCTGCAGTGGAAAAAGACCTGCCTTTCTGCCCCTTTTAAAAACTAAACCCCAAAACCAAACCCACTGCCAGAGTCAATCCCGACTCAGAGCAACTATACGAGATTCCAAGGCTGTAAATCTGTATGGGCAAGACAACCTCACCTTTTTTGTGCTGGCCATGTGGTTAGCAGTTCAGTGTTTACCCAGCAGCACCACCAGCTTAACAAACCCTGTGGGGTCACTGACTCGGAACCCACACAGCAGCAACAGCAGCAAAAGAAAGAAAGAAAAAGGACACAGGAGCACACACAGCTGGCAAAAAGCGTTTGCAGACTTTACAAGCACTTACACAGCAGCCCTTTCACAGCTTCATAAGCTGCTCACTCACTCACTGCCGTCAGGCCCATTCGCCATCAGCTGCATGCAGGACAGGGTACAACTGCCCTGTGGTTTCTGAGACTTTACCGCAGAAGAAGGTCTCAGCTTTCGCCTGCAGAATGGCTAGTGGTTTCAAACTGCCAACCGTGTGGTGGGCAGCCCAGTGGTAACCCACTACATCACTAGGGCTCCCTTATAAGCCTAAGGATATTTTTATTAACCCTATGTGAATAGCCGTGTGGCAAGATAAAGTCAGGTTATTAGTAGCACCCCCACCCCACCATGCATTCAAACCATAACTCAAGTGAATCCTGGAGCTTATTCCTTAGTGGAAACTTTCAGACGTTTTTCTTCTGTGATATTATCAAATGATGGTCTTGTCTGCTGTCAGGTCTGGGTGTGAGGTCGTCCATGGGGTTCGGGAGCAGCACTCTATGGAGCCTTTCCACTTAAAGCTCTTTCCTCCTTTAATTACACAGCTTTTATCCATATTTATGTAACAGTTTCCTATACTTGTGGAGCCCCAATCAGGTAGACAACCATGAGCATACACACAGACCCTTTCCCTTTCTCTCCTTCCCCGAGACTCCCTGCTCGAACGAAGCTGGAGCCCTGAGGGGTACCTCCAATTCCTACTAGCCCAGCCCTCCCTGCCTGGCCAGCCCCCCGCCCACCAGCCCAGCGGAGGTGACCCCTTAGCTTCTTGGGGTGCAGAGGAGTTGCTGTTTGTGTCTGCCTGCAGTTCCTCCAGTGATGAGCAGGGTGAGGTGGGCGTCCTGGGGGCATTGGTTCAGCCCCCCCTCCCATGTCCACAGGGCCTGCGGAAGCGAGAGCTGCTGAGGGAGCTGCTGCCGGTCATTGGGCAGAACCTCCGCTTCCAGCGCCTCTTCACTGAATGCCAGGAGCAGCTGGACATCCTGAGAGACAAGTAGCCTGTCTTGCCCACCGTGGTTGCTGCAAAAGCCGGGCCACCACCTGGCCCCTGACTGCCACAAGAGGAGGAGGAGCAGGCGCCCCATGCTGACACAGACACATATACCCGTGTCCTGGGCCGAGGATCCCCCCTCAGGGGGCAGCACAGCCCACAGCCAGCCCTTCCTCCTTCCAGGAGCCCATGTCCACCGCCACTCCCACCAGCCGGCTCCCAGGTGGACACCAGGTGGACCCCCTTGTGGGTCCCCCTGCTGAGCCACCTAGGGGAGTGCAGGTGAGCGGGACCGTCCAGGAGTCTACTATCAGGGCCAGGCAGTACCTGTGCACAAGGAGAGCCCGTTCCTGCCCACGGACTATTTTTGTACTAGAATTTGCTAACTTGTAATACAGACCCCTCCTTCCGGCCAAGAATCAGGATTCCCTATAAGTCACTTGGACACTGGTCACTTGTAGGAAATTTAAACTCTAATTATGACAGCTACATGAAAGATAATTGTACTGAAATTAACTTGTCTATCTTAATTTGGTTTTAATTCTTAAATGTTTGTATAAAGAGACTTTTTGGGGGGGAGGGTGGGGCCGAGGGGTGGAAGATTTCTTTTGTAAGTGTAAAATAAAGGAACACCCATTGGATACCAAACCACCCCACCCCACCCCTGCCTCTTCCTGCCCCCCTCCCCCCTACCATGGACAGTCACAGAGTGAGCAGAGATGGGACTGTTGATGGCACCATAAGGCAGAGATTGATTTTGCAGGGTGGGGCTCACTTACCCGGCTACAGAACTCTGGCTGGGTGGACACCAGCAGGCACGCCCCTCCCAAGTGTCATCAAAGCTGGACCACACAGCCTGCTCAGCAGCACCAGCCTAGCCTGTGCTACTTGGCCTCCTAGAAGCAGCTTTGTCAGCACACACATAGAATTGGTGGATATCCTGTGGACCTGCCTGAACTCGGACCCTCATCATGGCCTCCTTGCCAGTTGGGGGTGGGGGGTGGGGTCCCAAGTCTGGGCCACCCTTACATGTCTCACTAGGATGTCAAGGTTGGGGTTGGGGCGGGGGTGAGATCTGGGTGCACTTCTATATGTCCCTGACTGGCTAGCACACCAGCATTTCCAACAACAGAAGAGCCTGTCTGTGCAAAATGTCAACCAGACATGCAGGCAATTCAATGCACTACTCACTGAGTAAGTTAGCAGGTGAGGATTACAAGTGACCTATGTGCCTCTTTTACAGTTGTGCAAGTAGACCCAATAAATGGCCATCTGTCACTGACACCTCAACAGAGCACAGCAGCCACCACCTTGAGATTGCATCCTAAGGAAGAAAAGGGCTCATGATCTTAGAAATGGAAGGAATACGAACATTCCAAGTAGTTGCTCACTGCCATAGAGTCGATGCGCATAGAACTGCCCCTGTAGGTTTCCAAGACTGACTTCACCGGATTAGAAAGCCCCGTCTTTCTTCCATAGAGTGACTGCTGTCAGACTGCGGACTTCGCTGGCAGCCCAACTTGTAACTACTGTGTCACCAGGTAGACAGGAAAGTAGTCACACCTGCTATATTTACAGATAGGACTGTAAGTGAAAAATCACATCTCTTCTCGCGTGCAAAAGTCACAAGATGCTGTATTTTCCAACACAAACCCAGGGGTAGGAGAGCCCGGTGTTCCCACCCCGTTTCTTAGTGTTCCTCACAAGTTCTGTCCATTTCTTCAAATTGGTCTTACCCATAAGCCACCCTCCCTCCTGGTGCAGATGAGTTGGTACCCATGAAAAGAGCCCCCCAACCTAGGGTCGGGCTATTGCTCCCACCTTCTCTGAGTGTGTGTGTGCCTTTTCTCCAACCCCCCAGTGGCCTTCCCTCATTGGCCAGGGATTGGTGACGTGCTCCTGTTTCAGCCAATCACTAGCAAAGGGAAGAGGCTCACCATGATTGGCTCAGACCTTAACCCCATTCCCCTGACACAAAGGGGTGAACCTGTCCACTTGCAAGGCATGTGGTCACCATGAGGACCTTCGCCAGTGGTTCAGAAACAGACCACCGTGCTACCAGGAGTCAATTTTGGTTCATAGCAACCCCACAGAAGAGGGTAGATCTGCCCTTCAGAGGTTGGTTTTTTAAATGGCTGGCGATGAACTCTGGAATGCAGACCACACACCCTATGCAAGGCCACAGCAGTGTGGCAAGGTGCTTAAGAGTTCCAATGTTTTAATTCTGCCCCAGCTTACTTTGCCCTGGACAAATTGTTCAAGTTCTCTGAGCCTCTGCTGTATAATACAGATCATAGGTGGAGCCAATCTTTATGGCTATTTGAGCCGGTCAAATGAGATAAAGGTGAGTTCTTAGCAAAGTGCCAAGGAGCCCTTGTGGCACTGACAAGGTAAGCATTGGATTATTACCCACATGTTGGTGGTTCCAAACCACCAGCTGCTCCACAGGAGAAAGTGAGACCATGTGTCCCCGCTAATGTTTTACCATCTCCAAAACCCTATGTAGGATCAACTGAAAAGAATTGGGTTTGGTTTCTGGATTTTTGCACAGTTCCAGAAACATTACGAATTCCAAACATTTGGACTGCTGTAGTTACCTGTTTTATGGTGGGGTTGAGACCTGTCTGAGTTTTCAATATAAGAGCTTAAGTCTAAAAGCATTGCTGCAAGGATTCCAGTTCTTATGTGCACGAGTGTATGCCAAACAAAACATGGTGAAAGATCTCTAACAATAGTGGGTGGCTGCAGACAAGTTCCCTGAGGAATACACCTCTCCTAGTCTTGCCAAAGGAACCCTAGTGGCCTAGTGGTGACAGGTCTCGTCAGGAGGCGTTCTCCAAATAAGGTGCAATCAAAACTGGCTTCTGGGGGGATCTCTTGGCAGTTCAAGGCAGAGAGGTCTGCTTTAAAGGTTATTACTAGGGGTGGGGGGAATACCAAAGAGTTCATCTTTATATTCTCAAAGGACACAGGACTCTCACAGGGATTTGACCCTGAGGAAGTTTTAAGAAAATGAAAAACTGTATTGGTGAGGAAAAGACTTGGACCAAGGAATTGTTTCCCATTGCCACAAAGCACCTGGCTCATTCTTACAGAATCTCAAAGCCTGTCCTATGAGAGTTTTATTGGACAACGTTACTCACCCACCCTTCGTCCTGATCTTGCCCCATTCAGGCTTCTTTTTGTTCCCCAAAGTCTGTATCGGGAAATAACACTATTTGAACCCCTCAAGGATGCCACAAACTGCCGTTCTGGTGTGGTGCAAATCAAACGACCAAATTCCCCATGGAAGGGGTTGGTGCAGTCTCAGCGATCCTATAGGATAGGGTGGACCTGCTCTTTTGTGTTTCCAAGGCTATGACTCTCAAAGGGAAAAGACAACCTAATATTTCTCCCCGAGAGAAGCTGGTGGTTTCGAACTGCTGACCTCCAGCTAGTGACCCAGTGTGTAACCCAGTATGCCATCAGGGGTCCTCCAGGGAAGGTGAGAAAGCTGGATACGCCACCTTCAAGTGTACAGGTCTAGATGGAGGCTATGTTGAAGCACAATAGCTTTTATTTTAGTATATGTGCTGCCGAAGCAAGCACCACAATAGCTTTTATCTTGATCATTTTATTTAAGAATTGTTTCTGTGACTTAGTAGAAATACTTTTAGACTTCACCTTGTAGTGCCTAGCTCCAGCATTTATTCTTCAGTACCTGCTCCTCCCTAATCTGGGTTTGCAAAGTCTTTCTTTAACATTGAGCATTGTGTTGACCTTTCTTGCTAGAGGGTGCTGAAGCTTCATTGCAGGAGGAAGCTTCCCGGTTCGGTCACCCTGTGGGCAGCCTGAGTGGTGGCGTGGGTCCGGCAATGGGATTCACAGACTCAGGAGAAACTTTAAGTATCTGAAGACGTTTCCCTGCTCTGACCACACACAAAAAGAACCCAAACCTACTGCCATCAAGTTGATTCTGACTCATAGTGACCCTATATATATAGTTTTAAACACTGTCCATCTTTATAAGATCAGACAGATACATTTTTCTCCTGAGGAGTAGCTGGTGTGTTTGAGCCATGAACTTTTGGTTAGCAGCTCAATGCCTAACCCAAACCCACAGCACCACTGTGTTAGTCTGGGTGGACTAGAGAAACAATATAGACACTCATATGTTAGAGAGTTTTATATAAAGGGTAAGTGTACGTTAAGAAAGCATCCCAACCCAGTCCAATCCAAGCCCATATTAGTCCCTATGTCCAACACTATCTAAAGAGTCCTTCTCAAACTCACCAAACACATGCAATGATGCTGAATCAGTGAGCGTGTAAGCACCTCAGCGCTGCCCGGGGTATCCACGCGGCTTCTCCAGCACCCAGGGTTGCATCAGGGTAGGTCCATGTTGCTTCTCCTCGGGGATGTTGCAGGAAGAGAGCCTTGCAAGCTGAAGAAGGAAACT